TATATAATGATCATGACATGGTCTACAATGCGATGTATCGCATCTCCATCGTAGGCCGTATCATCGATCACCACCAGGCGAGATACCGGTCAAACATCGGCCCATCAAATATATAGATTTACTAGCGGACCCAACAGACGTTGTCCAGCAAATCCATTTGAATGTATAAACAAAAATTCATTCAAATTAGTTCAGACGTTTAGGATAAATAATCTAAACATCGACTGCAGCGCCATCTGCCGGGCTGATTTGTGAATCTAAACCATTCCCAGATCCCCTTGAACACACACAAAAAATTTCATCAAAATCGGTCCAGTCGTTTGAGAGAAGTTCAGTGACATACACACTCACAGAAGAATTATATTTATATATAAAGATTTTATACTTCTTTTAGATCTTTACAGGGTGACTTGTAACTCGACGTATTCCTCTCGGGAGGTGATATTACAACTAATGTCCTACACAATTAGCCCTGAGGTCTCTGGTCCGAAAGTGGCTAGTTTCTGAGATATTCAACATTTTCGGTTTTGGTGAAAAAATCCCGATCGAACTACAAAAACATCAATACATAAAAAACGACTGGTTTGATTTTAATTTTAGTTTTAATTTGTTGTCAAAACATCAATAAACATTTATTAATAATAATACTGGCAGAAATATTATTCGTTTTAAAATAGCAAGAAAATTAATATAAAATTTTGTTTGGAGTCAATAGTGAAACTACTAAGCTTAAAAAAATTATATTACACTAAGCGTTATTACATGAAGCTATTTGCTCGTTCCAAAGTGCATAGGAATTTCCTATGGACAAGAACGAACAATAAACTCCATAGGTTACTCTTTTTCAATCAGGTTCACAATATTTAAGTACTTCAATATATATAAAAGAAAGTCGTGTTAGTTACACCACTTATAACTCAAGAACGGCAGAATAGATTTGGCTGAAAATTGGTAGGGAGGTAGCTTAGAGCCAGGAGATCGACATAGGATACTTTTTAATCGATTTTTTTTTTACTTTTACGAACGGGGACGGGAAAAAATGAGATTACGCGTACGAAGTCACGGGCAGAAGCTAGTATGATTATAAAACAATGTTTATTACTGTTACCTAACCTCGCCTGAAACACAGGATGTCCTAGTTCAGGCACCTTATTGTGAACTTTATATAGCTTAAAGGAAAACTGTATATTTCTAGACTATTATGTTTAAAAATAAATTTTATTTATTTTTATAATAACTATCGTGAGACATACTAAATAAACTAAAAATCGCGGGTTACTCACGTGAATGTACTGAGTAAAGCTGTACTAGTTTCGAACCACAGAGGGGCTCTTCCTCATGAGCAGCGTGCGCGGTCGCCGTCAACCGGTTCGAAACTAGTAGAGCTTTTCTCAGTATATTCACGTGAGTAACCCGCGAGTTTAGTTAATTTTATAATTATTTATTTATTATATAAATTCTTTAGTTATATTGTTTCGTTGATTCAATTATATGAGAACAATGCAACACCAATATTCAGTCGAAGAGATCGATAAAGAAAATGACCTCAAGAACAATAAAATAAATTAGGATGTGTTGTTTTCGGATGTCACAGTTCGGTAGTAAAATACACAATACCACTTTACCCGATTTGCTCTAAGCCCGCAACCAAGCGACAAGTAAGTAAAGTAAAAAATATCATGCATTTTTCATGACAGAGCTTGTCCTACGCTAGGATTTTCTCCTGCGTCGTTGGTACGTTTACAAACATACAAGTCCATGACACCCAGACCCGGAACAACAATCTGTGGCTCACATAAAGAGTTCATCTGCAGGAATCGAACCCGCGACACGTTGCACGGCAGCCAGTTGCCCAGCCGCCGCGCCCACCGTCCAGTCATGTTTAAAAACAAGTCGGGCTGACTATGACGCTGCTGACAAGCGAAGCATTATAAAAATTACCGAGTCCTCGTCGTGTCGACTCACCCGTCGCCGTCGAGTCCTGCGGCGCGGCGGTGCGTCTCCGTCCTCGTGTGACGACGATCCAGAACTGTTCCCGTCCAGACCCATCACTGCGTTGCGCAATAGAGACGATGCCACTGTATCATTGAGTCCATGAGAAATATATATTTTTTTATATAACGTCAGTGGCGGTGAAAAAAAGATGGACGTAATATCACTTAAAAATTATTGACGCACCAAAATGTCAGTAAAATTTTTGTGTGCCCGTACAGTCAAATGTCAAAAGTCCACTGCCACCGTGAGTGATGTTCACAGGGCAATGCGTAAATAATTTCAGATTAATGTGTATAAAAACGCACGCGTACGCACACGGATACAAATAAGCGTGCGCATGTGTGTATAAGCGCTGCAGCGCAACCGATAGTAGTCTTACGGTGGCAGTGGACTTTTGACCTTTGACCGTACTTGCATGCACCGTAATGTATGAAGTGTAACGACGGGGCCATGTCACGCGACAGATGTCCTTCGTGTCCACGTGTGTGTATTCTACGTGTAAGTCTATGGGCATATGCACTCCACATTTTTTAAACACGCCGTCGCATTTTTATCCTGCAGAGCAGTTTGTTGTCGTTTGTCAAAGTCAAAGCATTTATTTCAATTAAACCATAGTTTGGTACTTTTGAAACGTCAACAAATACAAAATAAATAATAGTCTGTCAGTCAGTCCGTCAATGAAACTAGGTGAAGCTAGGTGCTCATTCCAAAAAGTAGATTCGAATGGAGAAGAACGAGCAAGAAACTCCATTCGTTACTCTTTTTAAAAAAGTATGTTCTACAATGTCTCTGATACATATTTCAATACTGTACGCATATGTAAGAACAATGCAAAGACACGCTTGACGCATTATAGTCTACGGACGGGGTTTAGCCCCCCCCCCCCCCAGTAGCTAGGGAAAGGGAAATGTGAATCTACGCTTGTAGCAATCGAGCGATTTGGTCCACGGCAAGTTTTTGGAAAAAAAATGGAGCCTTTCGACTGCATCTTGCTACTGTTCATGAGGTTCTGCTTAAAAACGCAAAATGCCAACTATGCGTTTGTATCGTCACGCACGTCTGTATTTATACAGGTGTGCAAAGGTCTACAGGCTGCGTCTGACTTGCTTGCGTATCGCGTCTCTATCGCTACAAACGCACGTCGACGGCGCGTTTAAAAAACGTGGTGTGCATAGGCCCTATAGTAGCCAGGTGCGACAGGCGCTGTTTGAAGAGAATGTGTCCGTCTTTTTTTCAACGTCCTTGGGCGTAACTATCTATTCCGTTTGGGTCGCCATGGCAAATTCATCAAATGCCCCGTGGTGGCTTACTCTTGAATCCAATTCCGATCGATCGACATTGGTATTGCGAAATTTCGTACTCGAGTTGCTACACCAGCGCCAATTGCATTCGTATTGCGTGGATATTGAATGAACTATATGGTATTCAGGGTGGCTTTATATTCCGTACTCTGAATGCTATTTCAACAGCTACAATTGTGGTTGTATAGTTTTGACATTGAATAATTATTGGATTGAAATTGCATTGACATTGAGATTGGTTTCAAGAGTAAGCACCCTGATCTTTTTTTTTTTTTTTTTATGGAATTGGAGGCAAACGAGCAGACGGATCACCTGATGGTAAGCGATCAGCGCCGCCCATGGACACCCGCAACACCAGAAGAGTCACAGGTGCGTTGCCGGCCTTTTAAAAAGGAGTACGCTCTTTTCTTGAAGGTTTGAAGGTCGTATCGGTTCGGAAATACCGCCGACGACAGATCATTCCACAGTTTTGCTGTGCGAGGCAGGAAGCTACGTGAGAACCGCACAGTTGTGGCCTGCCAACCATCTATTTGATGGGGATGCATATGCTGTCGTGAGGGTCGATGGCGAAAAGATGCGGCAGGTATCAGGTCAAACAATTCCTCAGAGCACTCCCCGTGGTATAAGCGGTAGAAAATGCACAATGAAGCTACATCTCTACGCATTGCCAAAGTGTCGAGCCGGTTTGAAACACCCGGACATCCAACAATCCGAACGGCACGCCGCTGAATGCGGTCCAGAGGAAGAAGCTGGTACTGGGGTGCCCCCGCCCAAAGATGAGAACAGTATTCCATGTGGGGCCGCACCTGTGCCTTATATAGAAGCAGGCGGTGGGCCGGGGTGAAATACTGCCTCGATCTATTGAGCACACCAAGCTTCCTCGAGGCTAATTTGGCCTTATCCTCTAAATGACCGCAAAACTGGACGTCGCTCGAAATGTTGACACCAAGTATTCCAATACCGGCTGAGGCAGTTAGGGGGGTGCTTTGAAAATGAGGAGAGACGACCAACGGCAGTTTCTTAGCGGTAAACACGCAGACTTGTGTCTTAGTGGGGTTAAACTGGACCAAATTAAGCCCACCCCAATCAGAGATTCTCCCTAAAGAGGTCTCGATTTCAGACACGAGTCTGTTTCGGCTCTCTATGACGTTTTCCCGAGAAATGTTAGCGCGGCCGGTGTAGTAGGCATCGCCTGTGCTGTCATCCGCATAACAATGAATGCCGCTGATTTGCAGCATGTCATTGATATGGAGGAGGAACAATGTAGGCGATAGCACGCAGCCTTGAGGGACACCTGCGTTTACAGACATCAAGTCAGAGCATTCACCGTCGACGACGACTTTAATGCTTCTGTCTGCAAGGAAGCAGGAGACCCATTTGCATAATTTCTCAGGAAGTCCGTAGGAAGGAAGCTTCGAAAGAAGCGCTCTATGCCAAACCCGATCGAAGGCCTTCGCCACGTCTAAACTTACTGCCAACGCTTCCCCCTTAGACTCGATCGCCTGTGCCCACCGATGCGTTAGGTAAACAAGAAGATCACCAGCAGACCGCCCTTTACGAAAACCGTATTGCTGGTCACTGAGCAGCTGATGATCCTCTAAGTAACGCAGGAGCTGGCAGTTAATAATGGACTCCATTATTTTCGAGAAGAGGGAAGTTATGGCTATCGGTCTGTAGTTAGACGGGTTAGATCGGTCACCTTTTTTAGGGATTGGGTGGACTAAAGCTGTCTTCCAGGACGTCGGAACTACGCCTGAGAGAGTAAGAGAGCCGAAAAAGACGTGTTAAAACTGGGGCCAACTCGGGGGCGCACATCTTCAAAACAATGGGTGGGATCCCATCAGGCCCACTCGACTTATGGACGTCAAGGGACAAAAGCGCCAAACGTACCGTGCGCTGGTGGAACCGCACATCCGGCATATACCTTCCGCACCAAGGCACAACAGGAGGCTCGTGCCCACCGTCATCCAGTGTCGAGTTGGACGCAAAGATTTTTGCCAAAAGTTGAGCCTTATCCCTTGCGTTATGAGCCAACGAATCCTCACCCATGTGCAGAGGTGGAAATGACGGCCTGCAGAAATTGCCCTCGATAGCTTTGGCGAGCGACCAGAATGAACGAGTTCCTGAAGGAAGGCGCTCCAGCCTCTCACCAATTCTACCGATGTGCTGCGACTTGGCACCCGCAATAGCTCTTTTGTAGGACTTGGAGGCAAAGTTATACTCCTTTTTTAGTGCACTGGTATTTACATCCCGTGCCACCGCCGCATCGACCCAGGCTTGGTAGGCCCCCCGCTTTCTGCGTGAGGCCTTTCTGGTAGAAGCATCAAACCAGGGCCGATATCTGCCACCGACGGGGACCAGAGAAGATGGGACGAAAAGCTCCATCCCCTGCAGCACCACATCAGCAACAGAATTGGCAGCGGCATTGGGATCATCCTGCAAGAAGCAAACCCGCCTCCAAGGGTAGGATGCAAAAAAGGACCGCATCCCATCCCAGTCTGCCGACCTATAGTGCCATACACGGCGACCGCGTACCTCTTGTAGTCGCGGTATGCACGTCCAAGATACAGTGCTCCGGACAAGGCAATGGTCCGATGAGCCAAGAGGGGCTTCGACGGATACGCTGTAGCCGTCCGGGTGAGAGGTCAGCAGAAGGTCCAACAGTGAAGACTTCTGGCCCTCCACATCTGGGATTCGCGTGGGCACGGTCACCAGTTGTGTTAGGCCAGAAGCAAGAGCCAAGCCGTGGACAGATCTCCCCGCGTGGTCAGTCTTACTGGAGCAGAGCCAGTCGGCGTGATGGGCGTTGAAATCGCCAAGCAAGACCACTTCCGCTGAGGATATCTGCCCCTGCACAAGATCTACAGCCGCCTGGATGTGGTCCATGAGTCGGTCAGTCTCGCTATCACCGCTATGGGACCTATATAGGCACGCATAGACACGGGGGTGGTCGTCGTTATCTACACGCAGCCATAAGGTGGACAGGTCCCTACCTTCAAGATTATATCTCAATAAAAAACAGATAAGTTTCTGAACTTCTAAACGAGGCCCCTATCTGTGGCATTGTGCCGACAACCCTATAGTTCCCTAGCCTCTGTATAGAGTGATTCTTAAGAAAGGTTTGTATGTATAATACATGCATATTGCACCCGTGCGAAGCCGGGGCGGGTCGCTAGTATGAAATAATATAATGCCACTAAAGTATACCCTATAGACTTTCACGCGCCCGCTTCTCATGTGAGGGTGCTGGTTCGAAACCTACCAAGCAAGTACCAAGAGTTGTATGTACGTTCTAAGATTATCTAGACACCACTGACAAACGGTGCAGGAAAACATCGTGAGGAAACCTGGACTTAAAATTTCTAATTATAAGTTTGTAATCGCCAACCCGCATTGAGCAAGCGTGGTGGTTAATGCTCAAACCTCCGTGTAAGAAGAGGTTTTGCTCAGCAGTGGGCATTTATAGGCTGTTGATGATGACGATGAACTTCATCACCGATGCAATAGAGTTGTTACATCATTACTTTGGTATACTTAGTACGAGTTTAATTTGCTGACACAAACACGTAATAACTAAAAAACGCGGGTTACTCACGTGAAACGTTTTCGTCCCGATATAAAATGGTTCTATCTCGGTAATACAATAGTATTACAAAGAAATAAAATGTTTAAAACAAAAAATAACGGGTGAACCATTGTAAAAAGCAAACTTCGAAAGCGCATACGAACTCATAGTAAGTACATTATCAAAACAATACGCCGTGTAATTCTTGAAGAGGTATTTCTCGTTGGTTGGCGCGTGCGATGCGAATAGAGCCTACAAATTTACGTCTACTGTTTCATGTGCGTATTTCCAGCAACTTTTTTTTAAACAAAAATTGGTTGCCTGTAAAGTCGGTATACGGGTGAAAGTTTTACGTGACAACGACTTTGAGTGGTAAATATTATGTCTGTCTCTCTCGCTCTTAGGCGGGCTAACCATGCCCGAGTGGAAGGGACGCGTGCCTCTCACTCGCTCTCATTGTGAGCGCATAACGTGAGCGGAGCGTAACGCAGTTTCTTGAAGTGTCACCCGGCAAACCAATTTATAAGACGTTGTCACGTCAAAAAAAAATGACATGTTTATTTTTTTAATTTTTACTTTATACATCGAAAGTACTCCTTATGGCAAGTTGTTTTGCCGCGGGACGGAAATGAAATAGATTTTACGGTGTATAATTTACTTACCTGAACCATAACGTATTGTTAATTTTTGTATTTCTGGCATTTTTAACTTAATTGATGCGTAATACTTACAATCGTCATCGTTGTCAGACCCTGAGTCAGATCCATCATCGTTTTCCGAACCTCCCGCGAGTTCGTCCTCATCGTCTTCCTCCTGAAAATTAAACATAACATAACATCACGCCTTTTATCCTCGAAGGGGTAGGCAGAGGTGCACATTATACCACTGTACAATGTAACACCCACTTTTCACTATTTATGTTATGAGTCCCATGTAATAGGGGATGAGTCTATTGCCATATACCGAGCACAGTTCCAGACTCCGTGCTACTACTGAGAATTTTTTAAAAACCCACTAATACTTTGCCCGACCCGGGAATCGAACCCGAGACCCCTTACCCGGCAGTCGCAATTGCCACCACTCGGCCAACGAGGCAGTTAGGTACATATTTAAGACAGATTTTTTTTCACTTTTTTTAACAAAAACTTTGCCCCAACACAAAGATAAGTATCGTGGGTGCGTTTATAAACATACAAGTTCACATACACATGACACTCAGACCCGGAACAACAATTTGTGGATCACTAAAAGAGTTTCTCCGTGCGGGAATCGAACCCACTACACGTTCACCAGACCAACCGAGGAGTTCTTTTTTTCTTTTATGGAATAATCCGGTAAACATGCAGACGGATCACCTGATGGTAAGCAATCGGCGGCGTCATCCATGGACATCCGGAAGTGCGTTGCCGGCCTTTTGGGGATTAAGAATTTGAGGATTGTTGGGGATTCGAGGATTGAGGAGATTGGACCACCGATAACCTCACTCATACGACGAAACACAACGCAAGCGTTGGTTTACGTCGGCCGTGGTATTACTCCGGTCGAGCCGGCCTATTCGTGGTAAAGGATGGCTCTCCCAGACTTCACTTCAGATTTATTATGGCTATTCAATTTACGCGGTATATTTAAGAATTGGGTGCAGGGTATAATCAAATTAGTCCGTCAGTTAGATAATGAAAAAATATTAGACACGTATTTTTTTATTTTCTCGTAATAAGTTGAAATACTTAGATAAATTTCGCTAAGTTTAGGAGTCGAGGTCGTTACGTCATAACGTGCTACAAAATGTGGCACGCTGTGACGTCACACGATATTTCAAATTAATATATCGTTGAAAGTATTTAATTTTGTGAGAAAAGAAAAAATACGTGTCTAAATTTTTAAATTAATGTACCAGACGGACATTAAAATAAAAATAAAGCATCTACACAATTCGCATAGCAGTTATGTGTACGAGCCCTTATAGGGTGTTGTTGATGAAAAATACAAAATAATAGACTACTTACAGCATCATCATCATGGTCCCTCTTTCGTCCGACATCGTATATTTTGACGCAAGACTCTTGCATCTGTTCGAAGTCGCCCATATTTTCGACTAAAGATATCTGCGTACCGTACCGAGATATGCCCAAAGCATATATATTTCTTTTAACATCTATCGTGGCTGTAACAAAAACGTTACGTTAAAAACAATCAGTTACAGTCATGAAGACTTTTTTTTTAAGGGGGGAAAATCATCGAATGACTGCTCCCGCCTGGGTGAGGCGGAAGGGAGTGTCAGACTCTTACTGACTAAAAACCACCCCGTTCCTTCTCCTGCACGTCGAGCCGGAGCCCCGGTTACCCGTTAGGTTCTCCGCGACACAGTCATGAAGACTAGACTTATGCCGGAATACTGAAACGTCACTCAGTTTTAAGTCGTGCTTAAATATCGTGCCATCTCTGTCATTTTACAAAAAAATTGTAGAGACAGAACTATACTTAAGCGCGGCTTAAAATTGAGTAGCGTTTGAATATTCCGACATTAGTCCCGGAGGTTTAAGACGGCCGTTTCTCGTGAATGAGGGTGCGGGTTCGAAACCTACCAACGGCAAGTACTAATATGGCTTTTAAAGTCAAAGTCAAAGCATTTATTTCAATTAAACCATAATTTGGTACTTTTGAAACGTCAACAAATACAAAATAAATAATAGTTTGTCAGTCAGTCCGTCAGTGACGCTAGGTGAAGCTTGGTGCTCATTCCAAAATGTAGATTCGAATGGAGAAGAACGAGCAAGAAACTCCATTCGTTACTCTTTTTTAAAAAGTATGCTCTACAATTTATTTATTTATTCAAGTAGGTATACCAACAGCTTCTGTATACATAGCATTAAGTGATTTGAAAGTAACATTAAGTATTTAGACTTATACAGTCGCCAATTATAGGTTAACCAACATGCAATTACTTAAGTGATAAAAAAAAAACTATAAATACAAAAATGAACGAGAACAATAGAGTTAACAATGTCTCTGATATATATTCCAATACTGTACGTACTTAGAAAGAAAGAAAGAAAAACCATTTATTTACGACTACGACACACAACAAGAACCTATGGTGCGTCGCAGCGCAAAATGTGAGAACAATGCAAAGACATGCTTGAAGCATTATAGGTACTAAACGCAAAGCTTACTAAACTAATTTTTTCCGAGTCATGTGTACTTTCTAAAATTATTTAGACGTTTGGATCGAATTAAATAATTATTTTTATGTCAGTCGGAATCAAAAAATATTTGTTTCCACTTAATCATACACTGTATTTTGACACTGTATTAATGTAGACCGTAATAATATTTAATTACTATAAATTGAATTTGTACGCCCCTAAGGGCAAAACATGCATTGGACATTGAATTTAAACAATTAACATCTTGCATGCTTTTGTATGAATGACACATGTTTGTGCAAATAAATTATCTTTATCTTCATACACAGGTACTTTTGAAATGACAAGAAATATACAACAGTGAAGTCTGTCAGCGAAGTTAAAAGAAACTCCATTCGTTACTGTTTTAAAATAAAAGTATTATTTAATAAATGTGACTGGTCGAGGATGCTCGACTAGTTTCGGGGCATGACAAGGGCTCATAATAATTTTAATCGTTGAAGCGGTAGACAGGTATATGTTTCATAATACTTACTACAATTGAAACAATTTTTCAAAAAAAATTGAGAATTAAACCCGAATTTTTGTATCATGCTCTGTATATTTAAGGGCATAAAGTTGAAACTCGTTCAAACTCACCTATACTAGAATAGTCATACGGATCTAATGTCTTGAAACTGGTATCGAACTGACTTCTCTCCTCGGCGTCCTGGTCGGAGCAGACCGCGTACAGCGCTGAGCATGCAGGATTAAATAATACCTGCAAATATAATACAATTATCATTAAAACATGTTTTAAAAAAAACCGACCTTTTTTATTGTTTATAATAAAAGTGTGGGAGAGTAATGCTTCGTCACAAACGGGCCGGGGCGACCGGAGTGATACCACGGCCGAGCAGAAAACCGACGTGAACCAACGCTTGTGTCACAAAACAAGCGTTGGTTCACGTCGGTTTTCAGACTCTTACTGACTAAAAACCACCCCGTTCCTTCTTCTTCACGTCGAGCCGGAGCCCCGGTAACCCGTTAGGTTCTCCGCGACTACCTTTTGAGGATTAGGAGTTTGAGGATTGTTGAGGATTCAGGGATTGGAGAGATTTAGGAGAGGGGGGGGGATAATTAAGCCTCCAGTAACCTCACTCACTTTCGTCGTGTGAGTCAGTAAGAGTCTGAAACTCCCTTCTGAGCAGTCATTCGATGATTCTCCCCACTTAAAAAAAAAAATACAAAAAAGTATCTTACCTCTGATTTGTCTAATGTAGGCACCGTCCTTAGCAGGTGAAATGTCCGAAGATCCCAAACTTCTGTATTTGATATAACCTGCAATACAAAATAATCATTTTACGATGGTAGATCGAGCATCTTGCCTATAAGTGGCCACTGCTGACAAAAGGCCTCGAGGTGAGGGAAAACATCGCGAGGTAACCTGGCCGTATAATTCCTAATAGGATAGATGCCTACTTTATATTTTAATATCCGTCTGGTAGATTATTTCAAATCATTAGACACGTATTTTTTATTTTTTTACAGAAACGAATACTTTCGACGATATATTGATTTGAAATGTCGCGTGACGTCGACGTTTTAGCCCCCACTCCTAAACTTAGATTCGTTTTATCTAAGAACATTTTTATATTATACGACAAAATAAAAAAATACGCGTCTAACATTTTTTAATACCTAACTTACGGACCAATTAGATTTTTAATTTTCATACCCTGTCATCATCCCTATTATAAGTTTGTAATCGCCGACCCGCATTGAGCAAGCGTGGTGGTTAATGCTTAAACCTTCTCCGTGTAAGAAGAGGTTTTGCTCAGCAGTGGGCATTTATAGGCTGTTGATGATGATCCGCCGTATTACATTGAAAAGTCGAAACAATTTGTTTTGTATAAAGAAAAGTAGCTGATGATTGGGATGATGAAAGCGTATGAAAATTAAAAATCTAATCAATCTAAATTAGTCCGTCAGTTAGGTAATGAAAAAATATTACACACGAATTTTTTTATTTTGTCGTATAATGAAACAATACTTAGATAAAACGAATCAAAGTTTATGAGTGGGGGCTAAAAGAAAACGTCATTTCTACGTATAGAATGTACATAGAAGTGACGTCACGCGACATTTCAAATCAATATATCGTCGAAAGTATTCGTTTCTGTAAGAAAATAAAAACTACGTGTCTAATGATTTGAAATAATCTACCAGACGGACATTAAAATAAAAATTAGGCATCTACCCTATTAGAAATCTGTTGTTACATACCTCTAATCCGTTCGGATGGAAGACGCCACTATGTGTTTGATTCAATTTGTCGAACTTATGTATTTCTTTGCCAGTGTTAACGTCCCAGAGCACACCGTCTGAAAATAAATACATTATATGTATTACATATATATTTTTCTGCCTCGTTGGCTGAGTGGTCGCAAGTGCTAGAACTGCCGGGCAAGGATCTCGGTATCGATTCCCGGGACGGGCAAAGTAATACTGGTATTTTTAAAAATTCTCAGTAGTAAGACGGAGTCTGGAATTGTGCCCGGTATATGGCAATAGGATCACCTCCTATTACATGGGACTCATATCATAAATAATGAAAAGTTGGTGTTACATTGTGCAGTGGCATTTAGTACCATAATGTGCACAGCTGCCTACCCCTTCAGGGATAAAAGGCGTGATGTTATGTTAAGTCTTAATGTTTAAATTCGTTATTATTTCTAAGCCTATACATTTGACTGCACGGTTGGTGCGGTGGCTGGGCAACCGGCTGCCGTGCAACGTGTCGCGGGTTCGATTCCCGCACGGAACAACACTTTGTGTGATCCATAAATTGTTGTTTCGGGTCTGTGTGTGTATGTGAAATTGTATGTTTGTAAACGCACCCACGACACAGGACAAAATCCTAGTGTGGGGCAATGTTTTTTAAAAAAGAAACATACCTGAAAGTACTAATTCATCAGTCGGGTTGAAGGTGGCTCTGTTCTTGGCGTACTGGTTGCTGATGGCCGGAGTCAGGGTCATCAGTTCCCGTCCGGTGCGTGTGTCGAATATCGTCGCGGTCTCGCCCTTGGTGCCGATGATACGCTCGTCCGACATCTTCGAGAATTCAACGTACTCTTCATTGTCTAATTGAAATCTGAAATATTACATTTTATATTAATACCTATTATTTGATTTAGTGCATTTTTTTAGGGGGGAAAATCATCGAATGACTGCTCCCGCCTGGGTGAGGCGGAAGGGAGTGTCAGACTCTTACTGACTAAAAACCACCCCGTTCCTTATCCTGCATATCGAGCCGGCGCCGCGGTTACCCGTTAGGTTCTCCGCGACTGATTTAGTGCATACATACATAACATCATGCCTTTTATCCCCGAAGGGGTAGGCAGAGGTGCACACAGAAGGAACACCCACTTTTCACTATTTATGTTATGAGTCCCATGTAATAGGGGGTGAGCCTATTGCCATATACCGGACACAATTCCAGACTCCGTGCTACTACTGAGATTTTTTTTAAAAACCCAGCAATACTTTGAGACCCAATACATAGGACTCATAACATAAATAATGAAGAGTATGTGTTACATTGTACAGTGGCATTAAGTGTCGTAATGTACACCTCTGTCTACCCTTCCGAGGATAGATTTACATAATGGTAGTTGTTAGCATTAAATAAATCTATATATATATAAAAGAAAGTCGTGTTAGTTACACCACTTATAACTCAAGAATGGCAGAATAGATTTGGCTGAAAATTGGTAGGGAGGTAGCTTAGAGCCAGGAGACCGACATAGGATACTTTTTAACCAAATTTTTTTTTGTTACTTTTACCAAAAATCACGAACGGGGACGGGAAAAAATGGGATTACGCGTACGAAGTCGCGGGCAGAAGCTAGTAAATAAAATAAAATAAAAATTATAAATGCGAAAGTCTCTGTTTGTTTGTTCTTCACATCAAAAAGGCTGAAGGGATCGGTATGAAATTTGTAACAGGCATATATAATGGTATGTAACAACACATATAGACTACTTTTTATTCAACGGCAATGCGGGCGAAGGTGCGGGCAGAAGCTTATACTTACAATAACTCGAATTCTTTCATATTCCATAATGCGGACAGAGGTCGCCACGGTGTTGTTGCTGAATTCAGTAGTAATAGTCCGTCTCTGCTCGCCTGGAACACATTTAATATTAGTAAACGACAATGCTGACACGACACGACTGCACGGTTGGTGCGGTGGCTGGGCAACCGGCTGCCGTGCAACGTGTCGCGGGTTCGATTCCCGCACAGAACAACACTTTGTGTGATCCACAAATTGTTGTTTCGGGTCTGGGTGTCTTTGTGTATGTGAACTTGTATGTTTGTAAACGCACCCACGACACAGGAGAAAATCCTAAAGTGGGGCAACGTTTATTAAAAAAAAAAGAAAAAAAAGTTCTTAAATTGCTTGTGCATACAAATTGCAGCGTTGGCGCCTCGTGTCGTGGTTCTTAGTCACTATGCACAAAAATGGTTTCAACGGTCCATCTATCACACCGATATTCTATTGAAATCCGCCTATGAGGCCTCTGCCTCGAATTTTGCTGGCAGCGGGGCGGCGGCGGCGGCGGCTTGGTTGGCACTGCTTGATTAGAGTGCACCGGTCGTTGCCCGCCGAACGCCGCTGTGTTTTGAAAAACCAGTCCATTTGATTTTACGCATAAGATCCTGCCGCACCCGCGCCGCCGCCGCCGCCGCCCCGCTGCCCGCAAAATTCGAGGCAGAGGCCTTACACCGATGCGGAAGTAGCTAGTGTAAATATATTATGTATTTATGCATGTCCTACCTGCATATGGTATATGTAAGACTCGTGAACTTGATATGAGTTCTCCTCGATGCCAGTGAAGAGGTTGAACACCCGGATGTCGCCTGACGACGTCGCCGCCAACAACTGTTGTTGAGTCGGCTGCAAGAGAGAAACATAATATATACATAATTGACTATTGACATAACATTGACTGCACGGTTGGTGCGGTGGCTGGGCAACGTGTCGCGGGTTCGATTCCCGCACGGAACAACACTTTGTGTGATCCACAAATTGTTGTTTCGGGTCTGGGTGTCATGTGTATGTGAACTTGTATGTTTGTAAACGCAGGAGACGCCACGACACAGGAGAAAATCTCAGTGTGGGGCAACGTTTAAAAAAAAAAATTAAATCGATTTCGTTCTGTTGATGACCAAAACTCAAGACCAAAGCAAAGACCTAACGAAACCATAAAATGCATATTCATTAATTTAGTTCAATTTTTATAACTCGATGGCGTTGCCGCGATTTAAAGCAAGCTATGGTTTCGTTACATCGACTTGCTTAAGATGGTCATTTTTTGTATGTACTGAGATCGAATCAAAACGAATATAATTATAAACCAGCAGTTCAAGCACTAATTACGGAGTTTCAATTTAACCCCTATTAGTAGCTATAGTAGGTCAACTTTACTTCGGTAAAAAACACGTTCATTAAAAACATTTGCCATAAGGAGTATTTTTGATGTATAATAAAAAAATAAAATTAAAAATGTAATTAATTTTTTTATCTGCCTCGTTGGCCGAGTGGTCGTAAGTGCGACTGCCGGGCAAGGGGTCTCGGGTTCGATTCCCGGGTCGGGCAAAATATTACTGGGTTTTTTAAATATTCTCAGTGGTAGCACGGAATCTGGAATTGTGCCCGGTATATCCTCGAAGGGGTAGGCAGAGGTCCACATTATGCCACTGTACAATGTAACACCCACTTTTCACTATGTATGTTATGAGTCCCATGTAATAGAGGGTGAGCCTATTGCCATATACCGGGCACAATTCCAGACTCCGTGTTACTACTGAGAATTTATAAAAACCCAGTAATACTTTACCCGACCCGGGAATCGAACCCGAGACCCCTTGTCCGGCAATCGCACTTGCGACCACTCGGCCAACGAGGCAGTCGATCAATTAATGGAAGTGTGATTATTTTTTAACATTTTATTCTAATGAACAGTCGAAATAATTTATCGTTGATTAAGGAAAGTACCAAATTCCCATACTTGGTATTCAGTACGGGAAACGTAATTATTGTACTAGTCAGCGACTGTACATCACACGCACACGCGCTTCATGTCAGCAGATTTTAGTTTATTAAACTGTCAAACACCAAGCGGTCACCGGTGACCGCAACCTATTGTTCTTTAATTGTGTCTATAAATACGGTACTCGACGAGTTAATTTCATTATAGTTATAGCAATAAATTTGTATTCAGTACATGCTCAGCACTAAAATACATCAGTACTCATCAATCATTAGTTTAGTTGATAATATAGCCGACGTGTTAGTTAAGTGTATCAATAAATATCATCTCACCGGACTATCAAGCGACTTATTTCCACCTAGACTCCAAGTTGTGTGAGAATCATTCAACAACTCATACAATTATCTTGGTAATAAATGAAGGTATACATACATGGAACAGCGTATGCGTAAAGTACGCGTCGTCATCTTGAAGGCGTAACGTACGCACGGGAGCGAAGTGCGCGTGTACGAGGCGAGCGTGCGCGCGGCGAGTCGCGCCCAGCCCGAGCTCGCGGCGAGCCACGCGCGCTAGCAGCGAGTGCTCGGCACCGCCGCCCAGCAGCCCGCCGCCGCCGCGGGGCTCCGGACATTTGTGGGGCCTGTGGCACAAAGAGTACTGTTAGCGTTGTATTTTTATGAAATGAAATGAAATAAGTTTATTCGGCATAAGACATGCACGCCAGAAAAGACATATAAATTTAAAAAAGTATAAAAACAGAAAAATTAAACGATAAAAGTTAAATTATAAAACTAAAACTAAAACAAGCCAATAATTCAAGTGCGCGATGTTGGCGGACATGTCCAATCCGAACGGGTCACCAACTCAGCATAAAAAATTTATTATGGACTATACATCCTTACTAATATTATAAATCTGAAAGTGAGTTTGTTTGTTTGTTCCACCTTCACGCCGTAACTACTCAACCGATTGCTTTGAATTTTTGCAGACGTAAAGTTAAAAGTCCGGATTAAATAATAGGGTACTTTTTATCGCGGAAAAATTGATATTCCCGAGGAAAAACAAAAGTATTGGTATAGATGGCGCTGTGTGTATTGGTATATGTCACATAGGCTACTTTTTATTCTTTTGTGACACGAGCGAAGCCGCGGGTAAAAGCTAGTATTGTTATAACTAGTTATCGCTGAGTTAGATTTTCTTCTTCTTCTGTTCTGATACGCTGCTGATGCGTGTGACGTGTGACATGCGTGGACTCACTCCGACACACGGGCAACGACTGGCTCGCGTCGGCGCGGGCCGCTCGGACCAACTGGTCGGTACGGCTGCGCGAAACTCCGCACGCCTGACGTACACGGCATTGAGAAAGTACCGCGGCCGTCCGGTGATAATGCCAGAGCCGTAACAAGTACCATGTTATACATATTTTACTATGAACCTGATTGAAAAAGAGTAACCTATGGAGTTTCTTGCTCGTTCTTCTCCATAAGAATCGGCTAGTAGAGTAAAATAGGGTGCGCGACGTCGCCGCGACCGCGCGCGCTGCCCATGAGGAACAACCCCTCTGTGGTTCGATACTAGTAGAGCTTTTCTCAGTATATTCACGTGAGTAACCCGCGATTTTTAGTTAATCTTCATTTTGGAACCAGCAATTAGCTTCACTTGAGGACTGACCGACAGACTGGCAATTTTTCTTTAATATTTAAATATTTTGTTTTAACGTACAAAAGCGCTTTCTTGGTATAATTGAAATATATGATTTTGACTTTGACTTTGTAGTAGCCTATAAATAGCCATAGCGAACCAAGGGCCTCTTCTCACACGGATAAGGTTTGAGCATTATTCCCCACGCTTGCTCAATACAATATTAAACTTGTAATTAGAAATTATAAGCCCAGGTTTCTTCACGATGTTTTCCTTCACCGTTTGTCAGTGGTATCTAAATAATCTTAGAAAGTACATATAACTCGGAGTAGTCACATTGGTAGGTTTCGAACGCCGTTTCATGCATGAGAAGCGGGCGTCTTAAACCTCCGGGCCACCACGACAATCTTATATTTAATTGTATAAAGCTGTACAGTCTGTTTGTTTGAACGCGCTAATCTCCGGAACTACTGGTCCGATTTGAATAATTCTTTTTGTGTTGGATAGTCCATTTATCGCAGAAGGCTATAGGCTATATAACATCACGCTACGATCAACAGGAGACGAGCAGAGCGGGTGAAAACGCGGAAGTAGCTAGTCCATAATAATTATTCGTAGCTATTAGAGATTTTTTTCTTTTTTTTTTTAAGGGGGGAAAATCATCGAATGAGTGCTCCCGCCTGGGTGATGCGGGAGAAAGTGTCAGTCTCTTACTGACTAAAAACCAGCCCATTCCTTCTCCTGCACTTCGAGCCGGAGCCGCGGTTACCCGTTAGGTTCTCCGCGACGGTATTAAATACTTACTCAAACAAATTGAATTGTGGACAAGTAGCGACTGGGTTCTTGCAAAGCGAATGTTGATTATAAAGGTATTCCGTGATGATGGTGTGTAGAGTGACGCGATGTTGGCTGGGGGCCGGCTCCCCGGGCGCCACACTCAGCTGCTTCTGCAGGGACCTCTTGTGCTCCGATGTTGGCGTCGAAACTGTGTTCAAAGGCGGATTTTGTACTTTTCTGTAACAAAAATAATAGAATAGTAGACAGTGTATGAAATTTTTGAAATGTAATATTTTTTTGTCAGTATTACTGGGTTTTAAAAAAATTCTCAGTAGCAGCACGGAGTCTGGAATTGTGCCCGGTATATGGCAATAGGCTCACCCTCTATTACATGGGACTCATAACATAAATAGTGAAAAGTGGATGTTTGATTGTACAACAGTATAATGTGCACCTCTGCCTACCCCTTCGGGGATAAAAAGCGTGATGTTATATTATTTAAACTCTAAGATTTTCTCCTGTGCCGTGAGCGTTTTTTTTTTTTTAAGGGGGGAAAATCGTCGAATGACTGCTCCCGCCTGGGTGAGGCGGAAGGGAGTGTCAGACTCTTACTGACTAAAAACCACCCCGTTCCTTCTCCTGCACGTCGAGCCGGAGCCCCGGTTACCCGTTAGGTTCTCCGCGACAGCTTTTAGGAACATACAATGTCATATCTGTGACACTGTGTGATCACACCCAGACCCGAAAACTGCGACCTCTCGCGTCCGGGCCTAGTGCAGGCCATGATGCGGAGCGAGGGGGAATGGGATGCCGTCTCCTCCTTTTGCGAAGCAGTCATGCTAGCTAAGGAGGAGGCGGGACGCGTGAGACAGCGAAGCGCTGCCTCCTCGCGACCCAGCCATCGCGAAGGACACACCGGGCGTCGGGGATCGCGGGACGATCTCCGGCCACCGTAAGCGCGGGCCTGCGGACGGCGAGCATGGGTGGCTCCCCGTCCGACCAGAAACAGACCCGAGCGTACGGCGCGTCGCGTTCCGCGCGCGCCTCAAAGAGCCATCAGACCACCACAGATGGGGCCCAATAGGGCCGATGCCGATTCGGAGTCGCGGAGAACCTAACGGGTAACCGGGGCTCCGGCTCGACGTGCAGGAGAAGGAACGGGGTGGTTTTTAGTCAGTAAGAGTCTGACACTCCCTTCCGCCTCACCCAGGCGGGAGCAGTCATTCGATGATTTTCCCCCCTTAAAAAAAAAAAAAAAAAAAAAAAAAAGACCCGAAAACTATTTAACCCTTTGAGTACCGTCATTATAGACACAATCAACGAACAATAGGTTGCGGTCACCGATGTCCTCGCGGTGTTTGACAGTTTAAGGATAACAAGAAAATATTGTATGGTTCAGGTGTAGCCAAGTAGTAGTAGTAGTTGATTTGTTGTATATGAGTTGACGAAAACCACAGATGTCCGAATAATCAGTTTATTCGTAAAGTTACACGAAAGTTTAATTGGATGCTAATCCGCGGTTGTATTTCGATGACAGTTAATGGTCAACTGTTTTATCCTTACTAATATTATAAATCGGAAAGTGAGTTTGTTTGTTTGTTTGTTTGTTCCGCCTTCACGCCGTAACTACTAGACTGATTGCTTTGAAATTTTGCAGACGTAAAGTTAGAAGTCTGGATTAAGTAATAGGGTACTTTTTATCCCGAAAAAAATTGATATTTCCTAGGAAAAACAAAAATATTGGTATAGATGGCGCTGTATGTACTTCTACTTGTCATTTAAAACCAGTCAACGAATTACCTACTAATTAGAAAAATCTAAATAACGCGATATAACCAAATTCCACGCGAGCGGAAAGCTATTTGTTTGTTTGCCTGTCTTAAACGGCAGAATGGAGGTACCAATTAACGTGATTTTTTAACTGAAGGTAGTTGAACGGATGGAATGTCACATAGGCTACTTTTTATCCGTTTGTGGCGCGAGCGAAGCCGCGGGTAAAAGCTAGTTTAATATAATTATAAGGTGAATAAAGTAAGTGATGAAAAGTAGGTCGCGGCGTATGCAATTTGCTTTTACGTGAATCGTACAAATATTTCCGTGCGAGAATCGAACAAGTTGCACAGCAATCAATTCGCCAGGACAGATATAAATAGAGATTCTCTAATATTATTATTACTATTATATTTAAAAATACCTTTTGACAACTAAATTGACATCCGTACGAAGCCAGGGAGGATCGCTTGTATAGAAAAACAAAAACATATAATTGTTTTAACTTAATCTAAATACACGATTTTAATATAAACATAGTATCATGCAATATGGAATATACGGTGTGTACTCGATTAGTTTCAAGCCAGGTAAGGGCTCATAATCATCGGAATTTTTATGTTACAAATATAAAAGTGTGTTTTTGTCTTTATTATTCAAAATTCAATTCAATTCAAAATTTTTATTTCAGATAAAACATCCATATTTATGTTAGAAGTAGTGCAACTTAGCCTAATGTTAGTAAATTATAATAATTATATGTTCATTACTTTATTTGGATAAGTGAGTCTGGATACTTATCCATCTACGTAACAGGGGAGAGTCCCACCGGTCAATGAACACACTCAGGATGCCATTGGAGGAAGAACGCAAGCGCGCCAACATTGATATTATATAGACCTAGCTTTATTTACTGAAATCGAATCGTCATTATTCTAGACTTAGCGCTTTACATTTACGTAAATCCCATATAATTTAGTTTTCTACTCTACAAGTAGACAAGCGCTAAGTGGCAATTGGCTACGGACCTACGTCTATTGTCTATGGGTATATCTAGGGTTCCCACCCTTTTTTTATATTTGATGGGGCGACGTTTGACCACTATCTCACCTGATGGTAAGTGATGATGCAGTCTACGTAAGTCTACCCGTACTTTATAATAAAGTATTGTACGTTATTTAAGGTAATTGTATTCTATACTTTATAAGAATAATAAAGTACACGAAAATACTTTATTTTTGCAAACTTCATTTCTATTAAAGTCGTAAGTATTTTCGGTAAACTTATCGATTCGATATCGATATTTATCGATTTATGTTGAATCGATTTCGCTACTCGCCAGCGCCACTTAGATAATTTCTAGTAAAGATACAATTGTTTAGTATTTCAATGCAATTGTTTAGTAAAGATACTAATTTATTACAAAGTGCAAAAAGCAATAAAACATATATTTTTAAATACAATACTAAATAAGAATAAATTGTACTTTATTTTTGTACTATGTACTGTTTTTCTTACCTATAATCGTCAATGTACTTTAAATACCAAAAAAAAGGTGGCAACCCTAGGTATATCACACCCACGTGAAGAGAAGCGGTGATCAATCTATGTAACATGTGTACATAATTGTCTCCTAGATAATTCATTGATATGAAAAAGTCAAGGAAACATAAGGGACAGATGTCGTACGACATGTATCGGCGACAAGGCAACCGAAGCCGGCCGACTCCGGCCGACATATTACAAGGCGACAACGCGCGCCTTGTGTCCACAGCGACGGCGACGTTGCCAGACGTCGACCGAAGTCTGACAACGTCGCGCTACTCCACCCGACGTCGCTCGCGACACGTGTCGCAGGACATTCGTCTTCTAGTGTATTTTAGCTCTGCTTTATGATGTTGATCTATCATGGTTAAATAAAAGTACTCTTAACCGACGAGCATGCATGAAAAGATTGATGACTGTCGATGAAGTGAGAGAGGTATGTAGGAATCGTAGTAATTGGAGTTCCATAGTCTCTACCTACCCCCTGATCCACATGGGAGACAGCCGTGAGCTTATGTATGTATGTATGTGTCTATGGTATAACACCACGCCTTATCCCCGAAGGGGTAGGCAGAGGTGTACATTACGGCACATAATGCCATTGTAGAATGCAACACCCACTTTTCACTATTTATGATATGAGTCCCATGTAATAGGGGGTAAGCCTATTGCCATATACCAGTCACAACTCCAGACTCCAGACTCCTGAGATTGTTTGAAAAAAAAATCCGAGTAATACTTTGCCCGACCCGGGAATCGAACCCAAGACCCCTTGCCACTGAAGCAGTCGATGTATGTATAATAGTTACCTCAGCTTGATGACGGGCGGCAGTGGACTGGCGTCGTCCACGTGCATGGCGTGCGAGGAGTTGAGGTCCAGGCTGTCGCGGTGCAGGGAGCCACTGCTGCTGGCGCGAGACACGGACAGTCGAGGCTGCACGAGACACGGAATGATTCAATAGGTTAACTGAAAATCGCGGGTTACTCACGTGAATATACTGAGAAAAGCTCTACTAGTATCGAACCACTGAGAGATTCGCTTATGAGCTTTATTTTCTCATATTAAGTTGCAATACTAAGATAAAATGGCGCTAAGTTTAGGAGTGGGAGGTCGTTACGTCATAACGTGCTACAAAATGTGGCACGCTGTGACGTCACACTATATTTCAAATTAATATATCGTCGAAAGTATTTAATTTTGTGAGAAAAGAAAAAATACGTGTCTAAAGTTTAAAATTAATGTACCAGACGAACATTGAAATAAAATTTAGGAAACTACCCTATTCATGGTATTACTACCCTATTCATATATTATGCTGATTGACACTATGCTGTTCACATTTGACTGCACGGTTGGTGCGGTGGCTGGGCAACCGGCTGCCGTGCAACGTGTCGCGGGTTCGATTCCCGCACGGAACAACACTTTGTGTGATCCACAAATTGTTGTTCCGAGTCTGGGTGTCATTGTGTACGTGAACTTGTATGTTTGTAAACGCACCCCGACACAGGAGAAAATCCTAATGTGGGGCAACGTTTTATTTAAAAAAAAACTACTTTCATATTAACTACCCTATTCATATTCATGACAGAGATGGCACTATATTGAGGTACAATTTAAAATTGAGTAGCCCGGTTGCCGGAGCCCCGGTTACCCGTTTGGTTCTCCGCGACTCAGTATTAAGTATTACTCACCCTAGTAGGAGTAGACGGCGTGTAGACGGGGGGCGGCGGGGGGGGGGGGCGCGGGCGCGGAGGGCGGGGGCAGCCTCGCCTCCCTCTGTAGCGTGGCCGCGCTGGCCGACAGCCCGCGCTCCGCTAAGTGAGCCGCCACTAGTTGTAGTAACTGGCGCTCGTTGTAATTTATACGCGTCTGAGCCACTACGTTAGCCTGCGAGAAAGAAAAATATTTGAAAACCGGTTCGAAATTTACTGAGCCAATCCTTACTTATATAATATTATAAATCGGAAAGTGAGTTTGTTTGTTTGTTTGTTCCGCTTTCACGCCGTAACTACTAAATCGATTGCTTTGAATTTTTGCAGACGTAAAGTTAGAAGTCCGGATTAAATAATAGGATACTTTTAATCCTGGAAAAAATTGATATTCCCGAAGGAAAACAAAAGTATTGGTATAGATGGCGCTGTGTGTATTGGTATATTATTATGTCACAGGCTACTTTTTATCATTTTGTGACGCGAGCGAAGCCGCGGGTAAAAGCTAGTTGAGAGATAATCGCGGACAAAGATAGATTTTTTGAATCTCCTAATTTTCTTTTTGATTTTTAAAGTCGGTTTTCTTGAACCTGTTTTCTTTGATATCGGTTAAAATAAAGTTGGACACATACCCGATGTATATTAGCTAGTGACGTCTCGAACTCGGCGCCCATATGCTTGCTCTTCCCAGAGACGCGCTCGAGGAGTTCCAGAGCATACTTCTGGAACATCACGTGTTCCTGTCGTTTCTCTTGTAATATCGGATCGCGCATTAACACTGAAATGTTAACAACGTGTTAATAAAACAATTAATATAGTAGTTATAAAGAGTTGCTCCGTGCGGGAATCGAGCCCGCGACACGTTGCGCGGCATCCAGTTGCCCAGCCACCGCACCAACCGTGCAGTCAAATATTATACATACTATATTATCTTTAAATATATAATTCTTCTGTGAGTGTGTATGTCATTGAACTTCTCTCAAACGACTGGACTGATTTTAATGAAATTTTTTGTGTGTTCAAGGGGATCTCGGAATGGTTTAGATTCACAAATCAGCCCGGCAGATGGCGCTGCAGTCGGTGTCTTTTTATTTTATTTTTAAGGGGGAAAAATCATCGAATTACTGCTCCCGCCTGGGTGAGGCGGAAGGGAGTGTCAGACTCTTACTGACTAAAAACCACCCCGTTCCTTCTCCTGCACGTCGAGCCGGAGCTCCGGTTACCCGTTAGGTTCTCCGTGACAGCGCAGTCGGTGTCTATGTAATGAATTTTTGTTTATACATGCAAGTGGAAATGCAGGACAACGTCTGTCGGGTCCGCTAGTATAATTATAATACAGACCTTGTATCTGTGATGTAGTGAAGAGCGGCAGTTTGGATATGATCTGTCTGACAGTGGGGCAGCGCGCCAGTCCGGCCAGGGCTCGACACGCCAGCCCGCGCAGTCTGTCCGCGTCCGTTATTGGCGACTTGACCATCATTAGTGAGAGGAGGACCTGAGGGAACAATATAATATACTTTAATATCGATTTCTTTTAGGAAGAGTCTTTTATTATTATAAACTAGCTTCTGACCGCGACTTCGTACGCGCAATCCCGTTCCCGTAGGATTTTCGGGATTTTTTCGGCAAATAGGTTAAAACGTAATACTTTTACACGTCAATCTTTAAAATACTAGACGAGCGCCGGCATTTCCTAACTGACTACTCTAAAAAGAAACGCCGCAACAAAACTCAGAGGTCATTGTCTCTTTTAAAGTCCAGACAGGTTATAACTATAATTTGCTAGAACCGTGCAAGTTCATTCTGTAGTGGTCTTTTGAGGAAACATCCACAATAGTTTGAGCGGACCAATTCTGATGGCAGCATGCATGTGTCAGTTTCGAACCAGCTCAAGTAACAGAGTGCCAAGCACGAATAACTATCGCATTCGTATCGTAACAGTATCGAGCGAGTTGAGCGTTCTGTTTGGTTGGTTCACTTGAGCCGGCCAATCAGAGCGCCGAACGCGATCGATACTATAACGTTACGAATGCGATAGTTATTCATGCTTGGCACTCAGATGTTGTTGAATGACCCGAGGAACAATACCAACCAAAGTAACATTTGGGTAGGTCGCACAAATGCTCAAACTGTCAGAATATAATTAACTAGTTGAGTACCGTCATTATAGACACAATTAAAGAACAATAGGTTGCGGTCACCGGTGACCGCTCGGTGTTTGACATTTTAATTAAGTAAAAGTGAAATAACTAGGCAAAGTCTCACACGGTCCTTTCACTTACAATTGGGATGATGACAGGGTATGAAAATTAAAAATCTAATTAGTCCGTAAGTTAGGTAATGAAAAATATTAGACGCGTATTTTTTTAATTTATCGTATAATGAAATAATACTTAGATAAAACGAATCAAAGTTTAGGAGTGGGGGCTAAAACGTCATTTCTACGTATAAAATGTACATAGAAGTGACGTCACGCGACATTCCAAATCAATATAACGTCGAAAGTATTCGTTTCTGAAAAAAAATAAAAAATATGTGTCTAATGATTTAAAATAATCTATCAGACGGACATTATAATAAAAATTAGGCATCTACCCTATTGGGTATTTGACAAAGATCCGGCAGCATTGAACTGAACTTATTAAACTACGATTTTCAAAATGTCTGCTGAACGTGGAGACAACTCACCATAATTCCATTATTAGTTCGCACACTCTCCCAGACCTTCTGTATGAGGTCCTCGTACGACTTGAGTGCGGTCTTCTTCTTACTCGAACCGGTTATTGAAAACCTCGTCGTCGATGTGCCCGCCTGAAAACATAGTATAAATATTATAAAATAAAACTCGTATGAATTCTCGCAACAGACTAAAACCCACTTTTTATTTAACTTTTTATATAGACAATTAGAGGTAAAACAAAACACTTCATGTTGACACAAACATTTTCATAGATGGCGCTAATATATATTTTGTTACATAGTTCTATTACATTTTAACAATAAATAAATAACAATTTTAATATAATTTGAATATGAGCCCAGTTATAGATTGTGAGGGTGATGGCAAGTTGCATAGTGGTACGGATACACTACCATCAATTTTTGATATTTTTTATTAAATAAAAAAATATTCATAAGCATTTAATAGCTTTAAAAGTGTGATAAGGACAGCATCAACTCGCGTATTGCTGAAACCAATAGTCGAACAGTTACGTGAGAGTCGTAAAACATAATTAACAAGTTAACCGCCACGTTTTGGGAGAGCCATGCTTCGGCACGAATGGGCCGGCTCGACCGGAGTGATACCACGGCCGAGCAGAAAACCGACGTGAAGCAACGCTTGCGTTGTGTTTCGTCGTGTGAGTGAGGTTACCGGAGGCCAAATTACCCTCCCCTTCCCCAATCTTCCCAATCTTCCCAATCCCTGAATCCCCAACGATCCTCAAACTCCTAATCCCCAAAAAGCCGGGGACGCACTTGTAACGCCTCTGGTGTTCCAGGTGTCCATGGGCGACGCCGATTGCTTACCATCAGGTGATCCGTCTGCTCGTTTACCGGCTCATGCCATAAAAAAAAACGTAGGTTTATTTATATAGGGTGTAAACGGAACGCTCCCGAAAAACGCCGACAGATTATGGTCAAAAACCAGTTTTATTTTCATGAAAGTAAGGAATTAAATATTTCCTTTATGTAATAACTAGCTTTTACCCGCGGCTTCGCTCGCGTCATAAAAGGATAAAAAGTAGCCTATGTGACATATACCAATACACACAGCGCCATCTATACCAATACTTTTGTTTTTCCTCGGGAATATCACATTTTTCCGGGATAAAAAGTACCCTATTATTTAATCCGGACTTCTAACTTTACGTCAGTAAAAATTCAAAGCAATCGGTTTAGTAGTTACGGCGTGAAAGCGGAACAAACAAACAGACTCACTTTCCGATTTATAATATTAGTAACTCCTACATAACTCCTAAACTACTGGTCATATTTTTTTAAGTTTAGTGTACTCACTCTATGGACAGGTGCGCAGACGCAGTTGACGAGTACGTTGAGTGCTGCCTTTTGTACGTCGGGCTCTGGAACTATCTCGCCGTCCGCCGCGCCTGCCAAAACGTCTGCGTTAGAATCAGAATCACATTCTTATATAAAAATTATATTTATATACATATTTCAAGGGGGGAATATCATCGAATGACTTGTCCCGCTCGTAGATTATACAAGGTGTTGTTTTAAAGCCGCGTCATTTTCTAGGACGTAACTCGGCTATCGATTCTGAGTCCGAATCAATAAAAAATATTGTAGATAAATATTTTTCATTTTTTTGTAAATTACAGAAATCCGTAAGTGCGAACTACACACAAACTCAAACATGTAATTGATATTATTCCTAATTCCATAAAACTCCAATAAGAAACATTGCTGTCGCTTATTCTGAAAAACTGTCGAACTTAAACGATTTATTATAGCCGTATTTTTAACTATTGGCCCGAAACTTTCTCTTACATTGAACCTATATGACTTCTGTGACATGTCCCCGAGAAATGTCACGGTTTCAAAACTTCACTTTGTATATTTACTAGCTTTACGCAGGCACTTTTGTAAGGGGGTAAAAAATATGCCCAAACATTTTTTTGTTAGTCGCATACCAATTTTTAGCTTAGCTTTGTACATACTGCCACACATCAATCTATACAAAACCAGTTTATCCTGGTGTCGCGTCGCATCATCTTTCCGCACATTTAACGTTCAGTTTATACTGGTTATGTGTTGCCGTGTGTACGTTGATAATTGCTGAATGTTCCATGCAAACTTCCACCCCCAATAGGGTAGTTTCCTAAATTTTATTGTTCTGGTAGATTATTTTAATACATTAGACACGTATTTTATCTATTCTCACAAAATTAAATACTTTCGACGATATATTGATTTGAAAGGTCGTGTGGCATGTTGTAGCACGCTGTGACGTAACGACCTCCCACACCTGAGCTTATCGCCATTTTATTTAAGTATTGCAACTTTAACTCGTCGAGTACCGGTTTTATAGACACAATTAAAGAACAATAGGTCGCGGTCACCGGTGACCGCTTGGTGTTTGACAGTTTAAACGAAAAAATAAAAAAATATGTGTCTAATATTTTTTCATTATCTAACTGACGGACTATTTAGATTTTTAATTTTGGTACCCTAGCAACTAACCTATTTTGCCCCTCTCTAACTCCTCACGAGTTAGAGAGGGGCAAAAAGCCTATGTCATTATCCAACCATTCAACTATCTCTGCTTAAAATAATTACGTCAATTCATCGCTCAGTTTTGCCGTAAACGACGGACAAACAAACAGAAACATGCTTCAGCATTTATAATATTAGTAAGTATGAATTATGAATATAAGCTCCAATTCTAAATGTGGGAGAGCCATGCTTCGGCACGAATGTGCCGGCTCAACCGGAGTGATACCACGGCCGAGCAAAAAACCGACGTGAAACAACGCAAGCGTTGTCGTGTGAGTGAGGTTACCGGAGGCCCAAAGACCAGTCTCCCTAATCCCCGAATTCCCCCACAATCCATAAATTCCCAATACCCAAAAGGCCGGTAAAGCACTTGGAACGCCTCTGGTATTTCGGGTGTCCATGGGCGACGCCAATTGCTAACCATCAGTGCCTTTAGCCAAACGCCACTTTAGCGCTTGTCTACAGAGATAGTAGAAAACTAAATGTATGGGGATGACATTGATAAGTGTCAAAATTTACATCAATTCCATATAATTTGGTTTTCTATTCTACATGTAGACAAGCACTATATGGCATTTGGCTACAGCTGCTAGTGATCCGTCGGCACGTTTACCGGCTTATACTATAAAAAAAATAAAGCCCGAATTGTAGGCAGAATAAAAGAGACTATAATTACAATGTGAATGACACTGTATATCTTGTGCGGACCAACAAATGATTTTTGATTTGATTTAGTAACAGACCGTATCTAATTAAAACACCATCAACTGCCTAAAACACGGTAGTCGACAACTAGTCAAATTCAATACTTTTAACGAAACGTCAAAAACGATACTGTTCTATGAATTTTGTACGAAATACTAGCTTATGACGTCATCATATTTTCGCGTCAAATAGCACAATATAGGTGTGCTAGAATAAATCGAAAATTAAGTATATCGGCAAAGCAATGAATGAAAGTGTAACTATTTATCAATAATTAATTGGACTGAAAAATCAAAATAATTTATTTTTGACCCAGGAAACTACCCAACTGTCCCATTGCTGACCAAAGGCTTCTTCTCACACAGAGAAGGTATTATTTTTTATTAAACGTTGCCCCACTTTGGGATTTTCTCCTGTGTCGTGTGTGCGTTTACAAACATACAAGTTCACATACACATGACACACAGACCCGAAACAACAATTTGTAGATCACACAAAGTGTTGTTTCGCGCGGGAATCGAACCGTTGTTACCCAGCCACTGCACCAACCGTGCAGTCGAGTATGAGCATTAATCACCACGTCTGCAATGCGGGTTGGCGATAAAAACTATAATAAAACTTACCAAGTACTATGTTGACTCCGGTGGTCATCTCGGCGTCTCTCATGTCTATCTTTTCAGTCAACAAGAGCTGAACCCGGGGCGCCACGCAGCAGACCGAGATCACGTCCAGAGCCGACCGGACTGTCTCCGACCTGAGAATTAAATAATAAATTTATATAAATAAAAATGACTGCCTCGTTGGCCTAACGGGTTATCGGGGCTCCGGCTCGACGTGCAGGAGAAGGAACGGGGTGGTTTTTAGTCAGTAAGAGTCTGACACTCCCTCCCGCCTCACCCAGGCAGGCAGGGAGCAGCCATTCGATGATTTTTCCCCCCTTAAAAAAAAGTGCGACTGCCGGGCAAGGGGTCTCGGGTTCGATTCCCGGGCCGGGCAAATTATTACTGGGTTTAAAAAAATCTCAGTATTACCACGGAGTCTGGAATTGTGCCTATATGGCAATAGGCTCACCCTCTATTACATGGGACTCCATAAATACTGAAAAGTGGGTGTTACATTGTACAGTTGCATAATGTGCACCTCTCTGCCTAACCTTTCGGGGATAAAAGGCGTGATGTTATGTTATAAATAAAAATGAATTTCTTTTCTTTAATCTCGCTAATACTCAAGAACGGCTGAACCGATTTCGCTAATTTTGGTCTTGAAATGTTCGTGGAAGTGGGAAAAACAATTTAGACGGTACGAATTTTGCCGGATCAGCTAACCGTTGAATATGCCCAAGCCTTTTCTGAAAACTGAATAAAGCGCTTTCAAATGATACCAAACATTTTTTTACCAATACTTTTACTTTGTATGTTTTGTCCGCTAGAGGATGCCACATAAGGTTTGTGAAATCCCACACAGCCTATAACCAGCGTACAATTGAGACGCTTCTAATAACATGTCATTAGTCATATTCTGATAAGTAGTTTAGAAGTTACAAGGGAACAGATGAACATACATACACACATACATACATACATAGTCTGTCAAAATCATAACGTTCCTTTTGCTTTGCCGTATTCGGGTAAAAATAGACAATCGGCAGTCAAAGCTACTACTTAAGATACTTTCGATGAATCAAAAAGCTATTTTCGCGACACGGAAATCGCACTTAACACCCCTCCGCCGCGCAGTACGTCGCGCGCCGGGGCTCCGGCTCGAAGAGCAGGAGTAGGAACGGGGTGGTTTTTAGTCAGTAAGAGTCTGACACTGCCTCCTTACCCAGGCGGGAGAAGTCCTTAAGCATTAATCACCACGCTTACTCAATGCGGGTTGGCAATTACAAACTTATAATCAGAAATTATAAGCCCAGGTTTCCTCACGATGTTTTCCTTCACCGTTTGTCAATGGTGTCTAAATAATCTTAGAAAGTACATACAACTCGAAAAAAGTCACATTGGTACTTGCCGTTGGTAGGTTTCGAACCCGCATCCTTATTTTTTTCTATTTATTACACGGTAGTAAAAATGGTACAACAAGAAAATTATTTAAAGACAAATTTAGGTGAATATATGTTGAAAAAAAAATTAGCTATTAAAAGTCTTCACTTATTACGGTTCTAGCTTTCCTCGGGCTTGTACTCAAGATATCTACATCATGCTTGCTACTGATGTCATTAAACGTAGGACAGGCTCGACACAAAAATGAGTGTTGCCTGTAGTTACTATTCGCTATCGGAGTACAAAGAGGTGCATGCTTCCTAAAGGATTTCAACAGATTATGCGGCCATCTTGACCTCTGGGCCACCAGGACACCCTGTCAACACCGGTGGCAGAAAATCCTTACTAATATCATAAATCGGAAAGTGAGTTTGTTTGTTTGTTCCACTTTCACGCCGTAACTACTAAACCGATTGCTTTGAATTTTTGCAGACGTACAGTTAGAAGTCCGGATTAAATAATAGGATACTTTTTATCCCGGAAAAATTTTATATTCTCGAGGGAAAACGAAATTATTGGTATAGATGGCGCTGTGTGTATTGGTATATGTCACATACGCTACTTTTTATCCTTTTGTGACGCGAGCGAAGCCCTGGGTAAAAGCTAGTAGTTATATAAATCAAAGTATTATAATAACAACAATATTCAATACCTGCCGTTAAAATTCCATTCGTAAGCGTATCCCACGACCTGTAGCAGTAACGATACTCCGCCCAGCTCCAGTAGCTCGTCTACAGCTGACCATCGAGACCACGCCACGCTTTGTAGCAACTCTATCTGCTCTTGAATCTCCTCCGGAGACGACTTAGATGCCTGAAAAATAAAATATTAATTGTAATACTGCACTCTTTGGCCTCGTTGGCCGAGTGGTCGCAAATGTGACTGCCGGACGAGGGGTCTCGGGTTCGATACACGGGTCGGGCAAAGAATTATTGGGTTTTTTAAAAAACTTCAGTAGTAGTAGCACGGAGTCTGGAAATGTGCCCGGTATATGGCAATAGGCTCACCCCCTATTACATGCGACTAATAACATAAATAGTAAAAAGTGGGTGTTACATTGTACAGTGGCATAATGTGCACCTCTGCCTACCCCTTCGGGGATAAAAAGCGTGATGTTATGTAATCATTTCGAAGTCATCTGATGGTATGCAATCGTTGTCGCCCATGGACACCTGAAACACCAGAGGCGTTACGAGTGCGTGAGTACCGGCCTTAGGAGTTTTAGGATCGTTGGGGATTCAGGGATTGGGAAGATTGGGAGGGTAATTGGGCCTCCGGTAACCTCACTCACACGACGAAACATAACAAAAGCGTTGTTTCACGTCGGTATTCTGCTCGGCCGTGGTATCACTCCGGTCGAGCCGACCCATTCGTGCCGGAACATCGCTCTTCCACACTTAAATTAAAAAGTATTTACCTTGTAAGGAGGCGGCTCGGGAACATTGTCGCCATGTTGCCTCGCGACCTGAGCAGCTCTAAGGCGCAGGTGAGCTTCTAAGTACCTACACACAAACATATCATGTTGGTTACTGATTCATTCGTTTAATCTTATCATATACTATTATATAAAGCGGAAGGATAGGGGCGTGGCGTATAAATGAAACCATTCTTCTTCTATACAAAAGAAATTATATATAAATGAAACTAGAAGATTCTGGTTCTGATTTTAAAACCATTATATTAGCTATTATTTGTGTTTTTCTTGTCTACAGAGAGAGTAGAAATCAAAATGTATGGGGATGACACTGATAAGTGTCAAAATTTACTTCAATTCCATATAATTTGGTTTTCTATTCTTCATGTAGACAAGCGCTAAATGGTATTTGGCTATTAGCTGCAGGTGTATATATGCGACTGCGACATACCTTCTTAATGCGACACAGACGTGTCGTACGATTTGTCGCGCGGCGCATGTCTCGTCCTCGGACACTCGCGACTCGTCCTCGTCCGCGCTCAGTATAGGCAGGGTTGATATCACGTTGTAAAGTTTACGTAGACCATCCTATAAAAAACAAAATAATATAATGGGAAAAATATTTATTAAGAAAAAATCGATTTTGAGATTGATTTATTGTAAACCTTAGTGGATATTGGTTGCTATTTTAAATGGATAATCCTGTACTTATTGTTAATATGATAAAAATAAATAAAATGAAAGTGTGATTATTTTTTAATATTTTATTATATTGAACAGTCGAACTAATTTATTTCTGATGAAGGCAAGTACCCTATTGCCAAGTTTCATGATGGTACATCAATAAGAAGTGTGTGTAATTCAGATTGTTAGATTTAGTTGTAATAGAAGCGTGTGTGTGCCCTCAGATCTCATAATCTCATGGTCACCGGGCAACTCCGTCGCGCGACCGGCCACGCTGCGTCCACAGGGCGCCGATAGCGACGACGCCGACACGGTCACGCGACGGTCTCCCTCGAGCGCATTTTTTTCGTCATCGGGCGTATTTTGTTAATAATAGTTGAATGTTTGTTTGTATTACACTTGGGTGTACTGTCTCGGTGTCCCGGAGGTTTAAGACGCCTACTTATCATGTGCGGATGCGGGTTCGAAACCTACCAACGGCAAGTACCAATGACTTTTTCCGAGTTATATGTACTTTCCAAGATTATCTAGACACCACTGATAAACGATGAAGGAAAACATCGTGAGGAAACTTTCTAATTATAAGTTTGACATCCCCAACCCGCATTGAGCAAGCGTGGTGATTAATTCTCAAACCTTCTCCGTATGAGAAGAGGCTTTGCTCAGCAGTGGGCATTTATAGACTGTTGATGATAGTATTACACTTGGGTGTACTGTCGCGGTGTCCCGGAGGTTTAAGACGCCCGCTTCTCATGCATGAGGGTGAACTGACCTGATGATCGAACTCCTCAAGGATGACGCGGAACTGGAAGGAAAGACCGAAGAACATGGTGGCGTGACAGCGGCCCGAGTCGTGCGAGCATTCCAGCAACCATAGCGCGTACCTGGACACACAAACATATATTTATTTATTTACATACATTTATTTAAAGGAGAACGGCAGATTTTGTACCGCTTCGCTAAAAAAAGATTTGTCATTAAAAAATTGGGTCATTATAGAACCTCCTAAGTACGTTATGTTAGCATATTTAATAGATTTTTAAAACTTGGGAAACCCTAGAAAAACTGATATTCAATAATGATAAAAAGCAATCCACTATACGTAAAACGAACCGCGATTGACGTTTACAAAGTTGCCATGCGTAAAGATGAAATCAGAGCATATTGAATTTCGCTATTTCATAAACTCATTTATTTTAATATCTATCAATGAAATATTTTCCTTTCCATTTCAAACATTTTTATAAGTAAATATAAAAATCTACATCCAATCTAAATCTACGTTTACATGGATTATTAATGATAATTAACATTTTAACAAACTTGAATATTATGGCAATGTTGAACTGGCATTTGTCTTGATGACATTGACAATTAATTTGTCAATACTGGCGCATTGCTGTTTGTTTCAAATGCGATGTTATGATGTGTTTGTTGAATTTGAAGTTATTTTATTCATCTGGTGATACGTTACGTTGAGTTTGGCAACCGTTCCTCCGTAGCCCAAATTGGTATTATTGGAATCATTGTTGTGACAATTGCGAAAAGACACTTATTTACATTGTTTTGTGCAGTGTGTTGTTATTTGTCGCGATGATGAATTTACAGTGTATTAATTGCATTCAGAGTTTGTCGCACATGAGACGGCATGCTCTAGAAAATGAGAGTGAAGATTAGACGTGGTCAACAATATCCCAATGTGGACTTATCCTAGAGATGTAAGTACCTAGTTTACCCATAACATATCGAAAGTCACCATGTTGCCTGAATAAAAGAAGGCGCATAGTGTTATCTACCCATAATGTATCATTTTATTCTTTTTATTCTAGATCTCTCCTACCGACCATATTTGCAATGCTTGCTGGCAATTAGCAATGTATCGGATGTTGCTGAAAGTATGTCCAGCAAACAAATTGGTCACTGGCATGTTTGTGTCGTATATGGGTGATTCATTGCAATGATAAGGTGACGCAGGGTTTTAATTGAAGGCGCCAACAAACAGGAGTAAAGACTGGCTCATATAGTATTTGATTGGATTCAGCCACAAGAGGTAATAAAGCATAATTTAACCATACTATTATCTATATACAGTGTAATCTAAAGTCAATATCATATTCTAATAATATTACTTATTTTAGCTTACTTCCCATGATGAAGATCATTCCATACTGACTGAGAGACCGTACAAGAGTCGAAACTATAAAACCACAACCTGACATACCACCTCACAGTGTTCACTATCAGGAAGTAATGTATTATGTAAACATGGACTAAGCCTCACTTTAACATTGCCATTTGTAGAACAGATGAGGCCGGATGATGTTGTTCGGCTCTCAAAGCTTCAACAGGTATGCATTCTCAATATAATGTACCTACATAATTATGTATCTATGTGGAGTATATAAGCGGTTTCTAATAGGTTTATACTCATGTTATAATTATAATTTATTAATTAGCATGCTGTTTGAGCTCCTATGATCTGTGTTATACGAATAACTATAATAAATGTTATAAAATGAAGTAATGTAATCAAATATTTATTTTTATCTTTTCCATTTTAAGATAGGGAATCAGACTTATTATTATAACATATAAAACTAAAGGAAAAAATGTACTTTTGTTTACTTTATTTACAGTTATCTTACTTGTTTACAGATATCAGCAATTGATGTCTGCTGTACCTATGACACGGCCTGTTCTCTTTTTAGATGAAGTACTCCTAGAAACAACCTGAATACAATGAAATAAAAGTATTTCAAAATAATACATTTGTTTTATTTTAACCTAGTAAGTAACTATATATTCCATCTTGATAAAAGTGATTTTAAGAATCAATCTATAAAATAAATGCCATATTTAATTTAGATAGCTTTAGTTTTATACCAAAAATGTTCATTTTCATTTTACATTTTCTTTAGTTGTAATGTGGTGGCCCAGAGGTTTAAGAAGCCCGCTTCTCATGCATGAGAGTGCGGGTTCGAAACCTACCAACGGCAAAGTACCTTTTGTCCAATGTGTCTTTTTTCCGAGTTATTGGTATATTCAATAATCTAAGAAAGTACAAAGACACCGCTGACGAATGGTGAAGGAAAACATTGTGAGGAAACATGGGCTTATAATTTCTTATTATAAGTTTGAATTACCAACCCACATTGAGCTAGTATGGTGATTAATGCTCAAACCTCCATGCGAGAAGAGGCTTCGGTCAGCAGTGGCCACTTATAGACTTAATGATGAAAATGTTGATGATTCTACTAATTTGACTTACTTATTAGAAATTAATCCTTACATGCGTGCTAAGCAACCAGTTTTCAGAAGAAATACTTTCTCAAAGAGCTAAGCTAAGTTTAAATCGAATTAACTTGAGACCCTTGAGACCTGCAAGATTCAAGGTGAAGTGAGACATTAGTTTTATCATATCCGCCACAAGACTTCCACTGCTAAATGTAGGCCTTCTACCCAATGACAGTCGCTTACATTATGAATTTGCATTTTCGTAGGCACCTAAGAAATGAAAAAGATTGTGAGGCATACTCTTTAAAACTCTATAGGTGCATCATGCTTGCTGAATTAACAGGATCATTCCTAATTGCCTTTTGCGCTGCGACGCACCATAGGTTATTTTTTGGGTTTCTAAATTCTTGTTGTGTGTCGTAGCAAAATAAATGGTTTTTCTTTCTTTCTTTCTAATAATACAAAGTGTAATAGTCACTTGAGTAGCGAGCAGTATTTTTAGATTTTTGTTTTTTGTAAATAAACAACCACATGAGAGCACATTGACATTTTTCAGTTAACTGTCATCTGTCATTTGTAATAGATATTTTGCTTACGGTGGCTCTACACTTGACGTTGCGTATTTGTTGTGTTCGGCCAAAAAAGAACATGTTTGGAGGATTTATTCTTCTTTGTTTGCTATATATTTGCACGCCATTACATATAGAGATACTATTTGGACGCCATTTGTACGAAGTCTACAAATATTTGGACAAATGAAGCGACTACGCAATGTCAAGTGTGGTACCACCTTAACATACCTTTTGCACATTTTCAAAGTGAAATAACTTTTGAACCCCAAGTTCTAAAAATATGTAATTTTTTTCTAAACTTCATAATAAAAATATCTATCGTTCAGACTATTCACTTGGTTAAAACAATGACTAATACAAAATTTTATAGCGGTACAAAACTTCCATACAAACCTGCCATTGTCCTTTTCTACAAATTACATTTTTAAATACTACTTATAAAATAAAAAATAATATTTAAAAATATAAAAAATAGGAGCCAACTAGTAGCGGGAGCATGGTCCAAGCTACCGGTGGTTAGGGCTCCAGAGACAGAAACCTCCTCACGATACGTGCTGTTTCTAGGAGAACTGCCTTCTGTATCAGGCCCTTGATCCATCCACCTAACGCCAGCCTCCTAAGATGGATGTCGAGGCTTTTAGGGATTAACCCATTGGCCGACATGACTATCGGCTCAATGATATTTATTTTATTATTATTCTAACATTGTGAGGACAATTGTGCGTATTTACGTTATATTTTTGTATTTCGTATTTTTGAATAGGGTAGACGACTAATTTTTATTTTAATGTCCGTCTGGTAGATTATTTAAAAACATTAGACACGTATTTTTTATTTTCTTACGGAAACGAATAGTTTCGAAGATATATTGATTTGAAATGTCGCGTGATGTCACTTCTCAGTACATTTTATACTGAGAAATGACGTTTTAGCCCCCACTCCTAAACTTTGATTCGTTTTATCTAAGTATTGTTTTATTATACGACAAAATAAAAAAATACGTGTCCTATATTTTTTAATTACCTAACTGACGGACTAATTAGATTTTTAATTTTCATACCCTGTCATCATCCCCATTATGAATAAAGTTTATAAAGTTATTATTATCTTACTAAAGTACATACCTAACGAGATCAGCCAGAGTCTTCCTGGGCAGTAGACAGACTCGTTCCATGGCGTCCTCGCAGTAGGCGAGGTAGTACAGGCAGATGGACACACCCGTCGCGGCCACTGACGGTCTAGGCACTTCCAGGAATTTCTATAAAACCAAATATGATATATATAACCAACTAGCTTCTGCCCGCGACTTCGTACGCGTAATCCCATTTTTTCCCGTCCCCATTCGTGATTTTCGGTAAAAATTTAAAAAAAAAATTGGGTTAAAAAGTATCCTATGTCGGTCTCCTGGCTCTAAGCTACCTCCCTACCAATTTTCAGCCAAATCTATTCTGCCGTTCTTGAGTTATAAGTGGTGTAACTAACACGACTTTCTTTTATATACATAACCAATAAATCTACTCTACTCCAATAATCTCGTTGCTGCCTCTGCCTCGTTGGCCGAGTGGTCGCAAGCGCGACTGCCGGGCAAGGGGTCTCGGGTTCGATTCCCGGGTCGGGCAAAGTACTACTGGGGTTTTTAAAAAATCTCAGTAGTAGCACGGAGTCTGGAATTGTGCCCGGTATATGGCAATAAGCTCACCCCCTATTACATGGGACTCATAACATAAATAGTGAAAAGTGGGTGTTACATTGTACAGTGGCATAATGTGCACCTCTGCCTACCCCTTAGGGGATAAAAGGCGTGATGTTATGTTATGTGTACTCCAATAATCCTACTGCCACACCCGACCCCGGAAACGAATCATTCGCTGATACAGAATAATACACATTTCGGAACTGTACAATGTAACACCCACTTTTCACTATTTATGTTATGAGTCCCATGTAATGGCATACACCGGGCACAATTCCAGACTTCGTGAGATTTTTTTAAAAATCACGTAATAACGCCCGACTCGGGAATCGAACCCGAAACGCCTTATCCAGCAGTCGCACTTGCATCCACTCAGCCAACGAGTCAGTCTTGAAAAAAATGTATAGAAAATGGTATTTACCTGCAACCCGCCCATATTAATAAAATCGATGGAGAACTTCTTATGGCAGAGTAGAGCGGCGAGGTACTTGAGCGCTTCGAACGCGAGCCGAGAGTCTCTGGACTCGCGCACGTTCAAGTAGCCGAGAATCAAACCTAGGGCGTTCTGCTCGAACACGTGCGATAGGAACTGGAAAAAAATAATCATTAGTCAGTTAGGCTGCCAATAAAAAACTGTTGAAGGCAAATCCTCCACTAATGTCAGTCACCGGTGACTGCCATGGCGTTTAACGTGTTAGGTATCATTTTTGTGTCCTGCTTTTCTATAGAAACTTTTATATCGGGTAAGAGAAAATTATCGAGCGCGTTCGGCGTTGATTGGCCGTCTAAAATGAATCAACCAATCAGTGCGCTTACTCTTGAACCCAATCTCATTGTCAATGCAATTTCAATCCAATAATTATTCAATCAACCACTATCGTAGCTGTTAAAATAGCATTCAGAGTACGGAATATAAAGACAAACTCAATACCGTTTAGTTCATTCAATATCCACGCAATACGGATGCAATGGGCGCTAGTGTTGTAATTTAAGAGTACCAAATTTTTTAATACCAATGCCGATCGATCGGAATTGGATACTTTTTTTCGAACTGTCAAAAACGACAGTTTTCTATGAATTTTGTACGAGATTGTGCATTGTGACGTCACGATTTTTTAGCGTCAAACAGCATAGTACTTATTTCTTAAAAATTTGCAGGAAAAATACTAAACTTAAGTTGGTCAAAAAATCAAATTAATGAAAGTATGATTATTTTAGAATATTTTATTGTATTGATCGGTCAAAATAATTTATTTTTGATTAAGGAAAGTACCCAATTAATAAAAGTTGTTACAGAGTATATAATAATGTTTAAGACTAGTGCTTACCTCTTGGTACTCTCCCATGGGTGTGAGATACCGTAGTATGAGCATCTGTTTGGTGGCGTCCGTCGGAGGGTGAATTTGTATATTACCTAGAAATATAAACACATTAGTAGTTAAGCAGCAAGAGGAGAGGAGAGAGAAACAGAGAGAAGAACGAGAAGGGAAGAGATAAGGAGAAAAGTCATTTTTTTGTCCCATTTGACATTTGACGTACAGGAAAATTCATTAAAAACGGTCGAGCCGTATAGGAGGAGTTTAATAACATACAAGGGGTTGATTTAAAGTCGTGTCATTTTCTAGGAGGTAACTGGGCTATCGATACTGAGACTGAATCAATAAAAAAAAATTGTAGGTAAAATTGTAAATTACGGAAATCCGTAAGTGCGAACTACACGCCGCCGTCTTGTAACTAGCTTTATAACGCGGCTTAACACACACAAACTCAAACACGTAATTGATATTATTCCTAATTCCATAAAACTCCAATAAGAAACATTGCTGTCGCTTATTCTGAAATAATGTCGAATTTAAACGATTTATTATAACCGTATTTTTAACTATTGGCCCGAAACTTTCACTTACATTGAACCTATATGACTTCTGTGACATGTCACCGAGAAATGACACGGTTTCAAAACTACACCGTGTATAAAGATTATTTAAAAATTAAAAAGTACACACATAAAGAGATAGAGTAGTAGTAGTTACCTATAACATATGTCTCCATTTCCGCCCAGCTGGAATTGGAGGAGGTTTCATGTTGGTGTAGGGGGGGCGGCCGAGGTGGGGGAGACATCATCCCCCACTGAGAGGGGGGAGAACATGCGTTCGCTGGACCTGAAGGGGAGAGAAAAGGGGGATTAATGATTATTATTATTTTAGTATAAAGACATTGTAGTCTGTGCTGGTTAGAATATAAAACCACGTCAATTCTTTATTGAGAGGTATATTTCATGCAATCGGGAGCGCTAATACGCAGCGTTCTCTGATGAACCTGATCTTTTAAAACTGCGATCTCCTAGTGTCGAGATTATGGCCAAATGCTCTTTTGTACAGAAGATTCATAATCCGTGCGCGCCTTAACAAGCCATAAGCCTACCACGGATGGGGCCCAATAGGGCTGATGCCTGATACGGAGCCGCGGAGAACGTAAATGGTTGCCCGGGCTCCGGCTCAAAGTGCAGGAGTAGGAACGGAGTGGTTTTTGTCAGCAAGAGTCTGTAAACTCCGTTTCGCCACACCTGTGGGCTTACTCTTGAATCCAATTCCGATCGATCGACATTGGTATTGTGAAATTTTGTACTCTTGAGTTGTAACACTAGCGCCCATTGCATCCGTATTGCGTGGATATTGAATGAACTAAATGTTATTGAGTTTAGCTTTATATTCCGTACTCTGAATGCTATTTCAACAGCTACGAAAGGGGTTGTATAGTTTTGACATTGAATAATTATTGGATTGAAATTGTATTGGCATTGAGATTTGTTTCAAGAGTAAGCACCCTGGGCGGGAGAAGTAATTCGATGATTTTCCCCTTTAAATAAAAAATCTTCCGAATCCCTGAATCGCCAACCATCCTCAAATCCCTAATCCCTAAAAGGCCGGTAACGCACTTGTAACGCCTCTGGTGTTTCAGATGTCCATAGGCGACGCCGATTGCTTACCATCAGTATTTTATAATGTTTGTAGGACAATACTTACTACTATAATTCTTGACTGGGGTCTCGGGGTCTCTGCTGGCCTGCGGGGGAGTTTCATCAACTAACATGTCTCCTCCACCGCCCTCGTCTTTGGCACGATCTAAAATTACAATTACTAACTATTATTATTGTTTATTAAAATGATAATTATACTATAGGTCGCCAAAGCCATGTGGTGACGGTAGAATAAGGTTCTTTACGCACTATAGCGCTTCTAAGTAACATAACGTAACATCACGCCTTTTTATCCCCGAAGGGGTAGGCAGAGGTGCACATTACGGCACTTAATGCCACTTCACAATGTAACACCCACTTTTCACTATGTATGTTATGAGTCCCATGTAATAGGGGATGAGTCTATCTCCATGTACTGGGCACAATTCTAGACTCCGTGCTACTACTGAGAATTTATAAAAAACCCAGTAATACTTTGCCGGACTCGGGAATCGAGCCCGAGACCCATTGCCCGGCAGTCGCACTTGCGACCACTCAGCCAACGAGGCAGTCATAAGCCTCAAGCATATAAGAAGTACAATAGTATAAGATTTATTTACTTACTAGCTTTTACCCGCGGCTTCGCTCGCGTCACATAAGGATAAAAAGTAGCCTATGTGACATATACCTACACACACAGCGCCATCTATACCAATACTTTTGTTTTCCCTCGGGAATATCACATATTTCCGGGATAAAAAGTACCCTATTATTTAATCTGGACTTCTAACTTTACGTATGTAAAAATTCAAAGCAATCTATTTAGTAGTTACGGCGTGAAAGCGGAACAAACAAACAAACTCACTTTCCGATTTATAATATTAGTAAGGATTTTATTGTAACAATTATTGAACCTACCTTTCTTATCTTTACTAGGTCCGTTGCACTTGATGTCACTATTTCGCTTCTTGTCGAAGCGCGCGAAGTGTCGCGTCTGGTTCGGTGGCGTCACTGTGTTCGGGTTGTTCTGCTGTAATGGGGTAAGCAGACATGTGTTAACCGTATCAAATTAACTCGTCGAGTACCGTCATTATAGACACAATTAAAGAACAATAGGTTGCGGTCACCGGTGACCGCTTGGTGTTTGACAGTTTAATTACTAGTTACATTATAATTCATCGCTAAAAGCCCCACAATATGATATTCTCCTGTGTCATGTGTTCGTTTACAAACATACAATTAGGATGATGACGGTATGAAAATTAAAAATCTAATTAGTCCGTAAGTTAGGTACTGAAAAAATATTAGACACGTATTTTTTTTAGTTTGTCGTATAATACAACAATACTTAGATAAAAAGAATCAAAGTTTTGGAGTTCCGAACTAAAACGTCATGTCTACGTATAAAATGTACATAGAAGTGACGTCACGCGACATTTCAAATCAATATACCGTCGAAAGTATTCGTTTCTGTAAGAAAATAAAAAATACGTCTCTAATGATTTAAAATAATCTACCAGTAGGACATTAAAATAAAAATTAGGCATCTACGGCATCTACCCCATTGCGCAAACACATGGCGCCCAGACACGAAATAACTATTTGTGGATTACACAAACAATTGGGTACTTTCCTTAATCAAAAGTAAATTACATCGACTGTTCAATACAACAAAATATTCAAAAATAATAACACCTTCATTAATTGATTTTATGACCAAATTAATTTTAGTATTGTTTCAGCAAATTTTTAAGACGCTTACGTTTTACGCTGTTTGACGTTAAAAAAACGTGACGTCACAATACAATATCTCGTACAAAATTCATAGATAACTATCGTTTTTGACAGTTCGAAAAAAGTATTGAATTTTACTAGGTGGAAAGTACCCAGTTATAAATGGTCCGTGCGGGAAGTGAACTAGTAGTATTAGTAAAAGCTAGGAGATGTATATCATATCCTGGAAACCCAACATTTCTTGCTCAGTAATCGAGCTTGCTACCACTCTTCCGAGAAAAATTAATAAAGATTAGAATTGGCCCAGCGGTTACGGCGAGAAAGTGACAAACAAATATATATGTAAGTATTTTTTTTATGGCATAAGCCGGTAAAGGGTCACCTGACGGTAAGCAATCGGCGTCGCCCATTGACACCTGGAACACCAGAGGCGTTACAAGTGCGTTGCCGGCCTTTTCGGGAGTCGGAGTTTTAGGATCGTTGGGGATTCAGGAATTGGCGAGTTTGGGGAAGGGGAGGGTAATTGGGCCTCCAGTAACCTCACTCACACGACGAAATACAACGCAAGCGTTGCTTCACGTCGGTTTTCTGCTCGGCCGTGGTATCACTCCGGTCGAGCCGGCCCATTCGTGCCGAAGCATGGCTCTCCCACACTTAAATATTGAAATGATAACTTACTTTGTCTTCTCTTAAAGCGTGTAGCCTCCTTAGCATTAGCGGTACTAGCATAGCGTTTAAATCCCTGAAATAAAAATTACATTTATAAATATATAAAAGTAGTTTACGTTACATTAACCATTTAATATACGGAATGAAATTGTTTATGGTATAAGTTGGTAAACGAGCAGATGGATCACCTGATTTTTTTAAAACGTATAATTATCATATTCGTTTAAATAAACATTGCCTCACATTAGGATTGTCTCCTGTGTCGTGTGTGCGTTTACAAACATACAAGTTCACATACACACGACACCCAGACCCGGAACAACAATTTGTGAATCACACAAAGTGTTGTTCAGTGCGGTGCAGTCAAGTGATGACAACACTCGACGAGTGAAATTATTATATTTTCGCGCTGCTACTGACTGCTCAGTAGCAGCGCGAAAATATAATAATGCTGCTACTGCTAGCAGCGCGACAGTCGCCGCGTCGCGGGTCGCAAATGCTGGTCATGAATATGAGCCTTTAGCATGGCTTGAAACTAGTCGAGTTCCTCGTCAAATCATTACGTGAGTAAGCCGAAAACAATAATTTATTTAGTATGTCTCACGACAGTTACTCGACGAGTTACAAGTGCTTTGCCTTCGATTGAATGAAAGGATTGTTTATTTTTTATGTCAACCCGTTTCCAATGCAAAAAATCCAAACCAATTTCTGTACAGGTCACAGTACTAACCAATCCTAACATACAATACTTTTAGCAACTTGGTTAGAATGACGAGAGAAATTCAGCCATTCAATCAAATAACTAATTATTGAGGTCATTAATCGAAGTCTAATTGGGTACTTGCCAACTGGTTAAATTCAATACTAACTGTAAAAAACGACAGTTTTCTATGAACTTTGTACGCGATTGTGTATTGTGACGTTACGTTTTTAAAGAACCAAACAGCGTACTTATTTCTTAAAAATTTGCTAGAAACATTCTAAAATTAAATTGGTCGTGAAATAGATTAATGAAAGTGTGATTATATTTTAATATTTTATTGTATTGAACAGTCGAAATAATTTATTTTTGATTAAGGCAAGTACCCAATTTTTTTTGTTTTTTAAGGAGGGAAAATCATCGAATGACTGCTCCCGCCTGGGTGAGGCGGAAGGGAGTGTCAGACTCTTACTGACTAAAAACCACCCCGTTCCTTCTCCTGCACGTCGAGCCGGAGCCCCGGTTACCCGTTAGGTTCTCCGCGACAGGCAAGTACTCAATTGAACTAGTTGGCTGCAACATGTATATTATACTTTTTGTGTAAACATAATCAGAAGATGGGACTGACCTAAAATTTGTAGCAATCTCCTGCACCTCCATGGCGGCGGCGAGCAGACCGGTAGCGTAGCATTGCAGCGGCTCCACTGAGTTAGTCGCCCAGTTCACTAGACGGTGGATCAGAGCTTCGTTGTCCTGGAAACCATTAAAAAATAAGTATTTATTATTAGACACGTTGACTGCTTCGTTGGCCGAGTGGTCGTAAGTGCGACTTACTTGACTTGCCGGGTCGGGCAAAGTATTACTGGGTTTTTAAATATTCTCAGTAGTAGCACAGAGTCTGGAATTGTGCCCGGTATATGGCAATAGGCTCACCCCCTATTACATGAGGCTCGTAACATAAGGATTACCTTATCCTTACTTCCTTACCAATATTATAAATCTGAAAGTGAGTTTGTTTGTTTGTTCCACCTTCACGCCGTAACTACTAAACCGATTGCTTTGAATTTTTGCAGACGTAAAGTTAGAATTCTGGATTAAATAATAGGGTACTTTTTATCCCGGAAAAATTTGATATTCCCGAGGGAAAACAAAAGTATTGGTATAGATGGCGCTGTAAGTATTGGTATATGTCACATAGGCTACTTTTTATCGCAGGTAAAAGCTAATAAGTAAATAAATTACCTGGAAGACGACACTCATCTCGAGTCCAGGCATGAGGTCGAGCGTCAGTCTGCAAGCGGCCACGTTCAGCTTGTGGACGTCGCGGCCGGTGATGTTCTGACGCGAATAGTACGTGTCACGTACATAGTCGTTTACCAGCTGTTGGGCGAAAATAAAATATTACATGACATACACACATATATAACTTCACGCCTGTCTCCATGGGGGTAAGCAGAGACTATGGAACGCCAATTACTACGATTCCTTCATATCTCTTTCGCTTCATCAACAGTCATCAAACTTTTCATGCATGCTCATCGGCTAAGGGTACTTTTAATTTGGCCCTTCTTTAATATATCGCCAATCTGGTCTGTATATGTCCGTCTAGAGCTGTTTGACGAGTAACTCGACTAGTTAATAGGTTACGTAAGCCGAAAACATAATATTCAGTATGTTTCACAAAAGCTATAATATAAACATATCCACATTCCCTTCATTGCGGGAGAGCTATCCTGATTCGGCACGAGTGGGCCGGAGTGATACCACGGCCGAGCAGAAAACTAACGTGAAACAACACAGGCGTGTTTCGTCGTGTGAAGGTTACCGGAGGCCCAATTACCAACCCCCCCCCCCAATCTCCTCAATTCCTGAACCCTCAACAATCCTCAAATTCCTAAACTCCAAAGGCCGGTAACGCAATTGTAACGCCTCTGGTGTTCCAAGTGTCCATAGGCGGCGCCGATTGCTTGCCATCAGGTGTTCCGTCTGCTCGTTTACCAGCTTATCCCATAAAAAAAGAGTTTGTTTAATAACAACTACTTAATGTAAAATTTATTGACATTAAATTAAATTGGTGACATTATATTTTGAATTCACTTATATTACAATAATTGTGTTGAAACTGCCTCGTTGGCCGAGTGGTCGCAAGTGCGACTGCCGGGCAAGGGGTCTCGGGTTCGATTCCCGAGTCGAGCAAAGTATTACTGGGGTTTTTAAAAAAAAATCTCAGTAGTAGCACGGAGTCTGGAATTGTGCCCGATATATGGCAATAGGCTCACCCCCTATTACATGGGACTCATAACATAAATAGTGAAAAGTGGGTGTTACATTGTACAGTGGCATAATGTGCACCTCTGCCTACCCCTTCGGGGATAAAAGGCGTAATGTTATGTTATGTGTTGAAAGTTTGAATTTTGAATGTACTTGATTTTTTCCAAATAACATTGTAAAACTGTAATTTTTGTAATTTGCATGCCTCAGGCGTAATATGGTCGGAACTGTATCTACTTATCTGCTAACAACTTAATTTACACATATTAGCAATTTTTTTTATTTTTTTTTTTTCTTCTTTGGCAACTGAGTCTCCAAAACGGTGTTGTCGACTATACTGCCAGTGTCGAGTGGTGACGGCAAAATTAATGAACCGTCGAACTTAACTTTGCGGTACCTAGTTATTAGCAAATAAATGACTTGATTTGATTTGAACTCTTATTACCTTTGTCATAAAGTTGTCCTTCTTGAACATGACTTTGAGGGCGTGTCCGAGCGCGCATTCTGGATCAGTACGTGACGGGTGCCTCTCATCGAATGGATCCGGATCTTTCTTCATGAAGTTCTCTGTCTCTGCCTCTATTATCTCTGCTATCCTGTAATAGATGTCAGTTTCATTGTAGATTTGAATGAAATATTTGAAAGTCAAAACTCAAATATATACCACGACGGTGGCAAAAAAGCATACGGCCCACCTGATGGTAAGCGATTACCGTGGCCTATGTACGCCTGCAACACTTGGGGCATTACATGCGTCTTGCCGACCCTTAAAAAACATATTCACTGCCCTCTTGAAGAACCCCATGTTGTAGCCCACAGGGAAAACCACAGCAGGGAGGAAGTAGAAATACATAACATAAAATCACGCCTTTTATCCCCGAAGGGGTAGGCAGAGGTGCACATTATGCCAGTGTACAATGTAACACCCACTTTTCTCTATTTATGTTATGAGTCTCATGTAATAGGGGGTAAGCCTATTGCCATATATCAGGCACAATTCCAGACTCCGTGCTACTACTGAGATTTTTAAAAAAACTACTGGGTTTTTTACTTATACTTTTGCCCGACCCGGGAAACGAACCCGAGACCCCTTGCCTGGCAGTCGCACTTGCGACCACACACCCGTTCAGGGATAAAGGGCGTGATATTATGATAGAAAATAAGTTTAATATTTGTACACGGATTCAGTAGAATGTATGAGAATAATTTGTCACAGAACACCATTGTAACCACACTCTTACAAATAGAAATAAAGATAGAAAAACCATTTATAACGCCATGACGCACAACAAGAATACAGGTACACACAAATACCCTATGGTGGGTAGCAGCACAAAAGGCCAGAGCCCAGCTTTATACTATGGCCCAGACACAAAGGCTCGAGTCTACACCAGCCCGTAGTAGGACATACTAATTATATTATTATAAACCTACAGTAACACTGTTCGGAGTGCAGCATGATATAAATAATAATATTAATAAATTCATTCATTCTTTCTTTTTCTATCGTTTCAATAATCATCGCTATATAAAACAAATAATAGTCCGTCAGTCTACCCTGTCGAACTAGAATAGTTAAATATATGAACAAAATGCAAATATATTTGTTTGTTAGTCTGTCCATCAGCGAAGCTAAGTGTGAAGAATGAGCAAGAAACTACATCCGCTACTCTTCTTTAATTATTAATTTGTTATTATTTTATTTAATCGGTGTACTATCTCATATTAATGTCTGCTCTCTCGATTCCATACTTTTTTATTTTATCTACATAATACATAAAATAAAAATATAGATAACAAAGAGCACTTATATCATGACGTAACTAAAGATTTTTTTAAGTTTACTAGCTACACACCGGTTTCCCGTTTCTGCTCAGTGCCTATTAAACGTAGTATAATGTTCTATAGCCTATCCTATAGCCTTCCTCGGTAAAAGGGCTACCTGACACAAAAATAATTATTCAAATCGGGAACAGTAGTTCCTGAGATTAGCGCATTCAAACAAATATAATAGTATATGATAAGATATAAGGTGCGGACATAAATACTACATGCCAAACTTCTGTTTAGTTTTCATACAGAACAACTGATATTATGATTTACAAATTGGGTAGTTTCCCCGAGTCTGAAGCCAATAAGTTGGAATTAACAAGTCATTTGGTTACATAGCTCTGTTTAATTTTGTTTGAATCACCAAATCCATAATAATGTATAGATTTAGTTCAAAATATTGAATACTAGGGACCTCATAATAACTTCGAATCATACAGAGGTTTGAATCATTAAAGGTTTGAATTAATGAGAGTCAATTATTTAATTTTTATTAAAAATTAACAATTATAGTGACACATTATGCCTCTTCTCTAGACAATGTCAAGATCGATGTTATAGATTATTTCACAATATTATGAAATAATTTTAATAAACACGTAGCAAGAAGTTGAATACTGCTTAAACCATTGAGCTGTACTAAACCATTTTATGATGGTCTTGTTTTGTAAGACCTCTCTAGTCATTCAACAGTCAGTTTATACTGGATTGCATAGCATGCTATGTGCACTGTGTCACCTGGTTACAATCTAAATAAGTATACAACGATTTAAATGCCAGAAACTATAACTTCCAAATATTGGAATTTTCTTTTTAAGAAAAAATTATCTATTCCATTCAAGATAAAGACTTTGATATGCGACAATTGAAGAAATCATGATATCAAAGTTTAATATTAATTATGTTTGTAAAAGATGTCTTGAAATAAGAGAAAATAAGTGTTCTACAGTTTCCAATTGTCATATCCAACGATAGAAAACAATGCCTAATTTGGATTGTCAAATGAAAGTATTGCACAAAAATAAATAAAATATAGTAAAAAAATTGTGAAATATTGCAATTAGAATCCCATAAACCCTAATTAGTAATCTTTTTCAATAAAATTACATCAAAACTGTTCATACCCACATAAAAAGTTTATAGCCTGGCTGACAGCTTATGGTCAATGCCAAAGTAAGATAACAAAAAAAAGTTACAATGTCAACAAAGTTTTATTTTTTCTTTACAATGAATTTGATCAAAAACTAATAATTAACGTTAGTAAAATGATATTTTATTACAGATATTTATCAAATTCTATAACTATACACGTAATTACGTACACATTTGTAACTTCCTGTTTACATACTACGAAACTTTTTTAAAGTTAAAATTGTTTTTATCGCTTTTTAGACAAACCAGCATGGTCGAGACGTCTATTTTTAAATTTGTACCTCATAACCACATGTGTACACATACGGGAGGCATATCAATGTGCTAATTATTACGGTTTTTTTTCACAAAACTTATCAAAACAAAGTACACACCTCGTCAAAGTTGGTATCGGGTCGAAGTTTGGTGTATTGTGTTGCTCCTCCCATTGTCTCAGCAGCTCCGTTACCTCTTGTGCTGGCGCTGAATCCATTTATTTCATAAAATGTTTGCAATTTATAACCTCACTGATTTTCAACTTTGTCACTAACGTTCCGTAACGGCACGACGATACTTATTATTTATACTGAAATTTAATTAATATTATAGATACTATAGATTATTGTACATTTTATTATAAAAAATATTAAATATGTTACAATTAAATTCGTTAAAATGCAACGTTTTGTCTTTAAACCGCGCACTCCTACAACAAATTTTATGCTAGTGAATGATACCACAGCAATTATGAATTAACTACTAAGTCTACCATTTCTTATTGGTTTTTACTCAAAGAAACTGTTTTCATTTTTTAAGTTTCTGCAAATTTAAGTGTATTCAATGCTGCTGTATACAAAAATATAGATAAAGATTTTATCTGCCGTTAATTATTTCATCCTTATAATATTTATTCATTTATTTTTTCCTATAAATTATAATAATAAATAACATATTCTGATTCTGATTCTGATTAGTACCTTACTAGAAAACCTGTCTTTTTAGAAAAATTCATTGCCTGGACGATGTCGTCAAAATCGTTAGATTGGAAACAAATGGATAAGGGATGCAGTATGCACAAAGCGAGAAGACTAAGGCAGCAGTATAAACTTATTACCTAGCACTCCTAGCAGCTAGTAAATAAGTGCTGATCGCTGATAGTGATTTTTAATATGAATTAATATGAAATATTTAGTTTCTGAGAATAAATTACGAGACTTATACAATTTAAAATCTACCAAATTGTCTGAGCTAAAATCTGACAACACTGTAATTTTTCGATTCGTTCAAAAATAAGGTAAAAAAACCTTCAAAATCGGTAAGTTAATTGTTAAATTTTAAATTTTTTTAGTTTTAAACTTGAAGAACAAGTTCTTGACCATAGAAAAGGAAATAAAGCCTTAGTTTTTCATTTAAAACTGAAAATACAATTTGTTATATTATACCTTCCAGAAACCCAAACTGCTTACCAGCGAATTTCCGAACGGAGTTCAGAGATAAACGCGCGCCGCGCAAAGTGCGCAACTCTGTTTCACTTCATTCCGTCAAACATCAAACTTGTCAAAAGTACATTGGTTAAAATTGCGATTGTGATTGTTTGTTGTTTTACTTGTAAACTTGATTTTTATACTTGTTAAAAAAAAATTGTGATAAAACGAAGAAACAATGGCTTCTCAAGTATCAAGGACGAGTACCGGTGAAAGTTTTGAAAGGAAACTTCGTTATAGACAGATTTTGGAGTACCTCTCCACTTTAGGTACTTATGAAGAATTTACTGTTTCTTTTTATCATCTTTATAGTTTTACAAGTACGAATAATGTTTGTACAACTAACAAAGTAAATTATATCAATGGATAAACCATTGTGTGTTATGTGTGTGTTATTTTCTTTAACTAGTTAGACTGAATGTTTGTTAATCTTTTACTCAAAAGCTACTGTACATTTAAATGTAACTTGACACAAAGATAGATTATAGCCTAGAATAACACATTGGCTACTCTCCTGACCTATAAACCGACCGCAAGACAATAGATATTAAAGTATCATTAACCCGTCGAAAATTGTTGAAAATCATCCCCTAAATTTGTTCATACAAAAGTAGTCTCTAAACATTGGAAATAAGGTCTATAATGTAGTTAGTGGAGAGCGGTAACCGGTGACCGCTTGGGGATATACGTTTGATAATATCTATGGTCTTGCGGTCAGTTTATCAGATTTTATCGTAATTAATCTCTCTTTTATGATACTGCTAAAGTTCCTATTTATATTGACCTATCAACTACTTATTTGAAGGATCTAGCATCTGACTGATGTTGGACTGAACATTATCAAGTGCAAAGATGTTGCGTAGAAGCTCGTATGACATTGTAATTATCAAAAAAATGTTTTGCAACACTAGGGCTTTCTTCTGTGTTGTATCTGTGTTTAAACATAAAATCTCCCATACACATCACACTTAGACTCGAAACATTTTGTGGAACACTCAGAAGATTTATCAAGGTCAAGACAAGGTGGCAAGTGCAACTGCCGGGCAAGGGCTCTCGGGTTCAATTCCTAGGTTAGGCAAAGTATTACTGGGTTAGTAAAAAAATCTCAGTAGTAGCACGGAGTCTGGAATTGTGCCCGTTATATGGCAATAGGCTTACCCCCTTTTACATGGGATTTATAACATATACAGTGAAAAGTGTTTGTTACATTGTACAGTGGCATAATGTGCACCTTTGCCTACCCCTTCGGGGATAAAAGGCATAATGTTATGTTATGTCACAAGACTTGTTCCGACAAATAAAACTCATGACACTGCACGACTATCAGTAATTAACACCGAAGTCAAAGTCTAAATAATTTATTTCAATTCAATTAGACCATGGTAGCGATTTTGAATGTTAAAAAAACATGTCGTACCTCCGGTGCTATAACGTAACTTATGTATTGCGGGGGCCCGCACGCAACTGAACAATGAAATGTTGTTTCTCCCAAAACCGTAATGACAGTAAAGCCCTCACAAGGACAGTTTGTGTACTAAACAAATGACAATAACGCACCAAGTAAGGAGGTGAATTTGGAGTATTCTTTCATAATCAGTTAAGTTTTGACAAAAATTGCATAAGTGACGATATTGCACTGTAGGTGCGATGTGTCATTCACTCTTCTATACTCGGAATTTTAATTCGATTCCAGATTTGACAATTTCAGTGTGGCAACGTTATGACAAGTACTAAATAGTGACGTTGCGAAATTATTCGATATGGAAATGCAATATTTCTGGATCGATTCTTCTCGTTTATAATAATTATAATTTTACTCTCGTGAACTAAGTATATCAGGAAATTAAATATTTCTGAACCGATAATTTAGTTTTGACGATTATTTAACAATCTGAGACGTTTCTTTTATAATTGTGTGTGAAATAAATAAAAAAAATGTAATCATGAAGGAACATGACAAATAAAACAGATAGATGTATTATGGTAATGAGTTATTTTATGAATTGTCGCCGTCATCGCTATCGCTATCCTGTCACTTTCTGTAACATTTATTATAAAACACACACACTGATTGTTTATCGATTTTTGTGTGCATCACTACACTATTATATGTGGTATCATTATTTCACAAAATGACAGTAGCTATTGTCAAATCTGGAATCTAATTAAAATTCTGACTATAGTCTAGCAATTTGTTTGTTCCAACATATAGATTCCTATTACGAAAAATGAGCAAGAAACTCCAGAGGCCATTGTTATTTTGGAGTTTTTAAAATTGATAATCAAACATTTTTTATGTGCCTATGCCCTGGCTTAACCGGATTAATGCCACGGTTGAGCAGAAAATCGTCGTGAAACATCACTTGTGTTGTGTTTCGTCGTGTGAATGACTTTAACACAGACCCAATTGTCCTCTCTTCAATCTCCCCCATCGCTGAATACCCAACAATCTTTAAATTCCTAATCCCCAAAAGGTTGGTAACACACTTGTAACGCCTCTGGTGCTCCAGGTGTCCATGGGCGACGCCGATTGCTTACCATCAGGTGATCCATCAACTCATTTACTAGTTTATCCTATAGACAAATTTATATCCTTTCAGAAATAGAAGCAGATGACAATATCGACTGTATGGACAAGACCAGAGATATGGTCAAGGAGGCGAAGGCTCTATTTGCAGAGTCGACTCTTGAGGAAAAAGTCAAGGATCCAGGTTTGTTAGCCATAGTTTGAATAATTAAAAAAATAGAAATTTGTATTATACTGTACAGCCGAATGGTTCCATTCCTGGGTCGGGTATGGCAATAGGATTATTGGAGACTTTTGAATGAAATAAGAATCTATTTAGTTACATAATGAAAAAGGCTGAAAAAACATCCCAATGAACTGGCAACCCAACTCACTATGCCTGCGTACCTACACAAAGCGGCTGAAAAGACGAGACTTCATGGAACTTGTCTACCCAAACTCCTAGGCTGACCTCGAAATAAGAGACTGATCTCTTAATGGAGAGATTCGTCTACAAGTCAAATGACGTCCAAAAATTTGCTCATGGTCAAGAGACCGATTGCAAATAAACATACAAAAAAAAAAAAGTTACCTAATGAAAAAATTGGTACAAAAGTGCGCCCGTTGGCCGAGTGGTCGCAAGTGAGACTGCCGGGCAAAGGGTCTTGGGTTCGATTCCCGGGGTCGAGCTAGGTATTACCGTGCTGGCAGTCAGTTATACTATTTAATTGAAATAAATGAAATAAATAAATTACTGGCTCCATCCAAAGTTGTCACTTGTCTGTAAGAAAACGCAATCTGCGATAAGACCGCACATTGTACTTGTACACATTCTTTTTATGTTTATTTTTCTTTGTATGTCATTATGGTGCACAATAAAGTGTAAATAAATAAATAAATATAAGACCAAATCTTATTATTTAGAATTAAATAAAACTAATGTGTTGCTTTTTAAAATGAAGAAACGTCATTTAATGTTTTATTCTTCCATAAATTCTTTAACACAAAATTATTTTATTATTGACGTTTAAAAAACCAAAGACTATTTATTTTGACAATGGCTGATAGAGTAAATTTTCAACACAAATAATAGTTTCATTAAAACTTAATGTTAATATTAATTAAGTTTGTAATTAGGTGTATTATGTTCCATAATGTAGACAGATAAGATTATTGTCTGTAAACACACTAGATTAAGAGCATACTATAAAAATTTTGTATGTCTGTACAGACACAATGTGGCGCACTACCATAATATTATCTACCATCTATTGTACACACATACCGAATGCATTGACGAAATAAATAATATTTGTATTTGTATTTTTTGTATTTTGTATTTGTATTTTCTTTACATAAAAAATTAGTTGCCTGTAAAGTCGGTATACGGGTGAAAGTTTTACGTGACAACGACTTTGAGTGGTGTGCCTTTCACTTTTTATGTCTGTCTCTCTCGCTCTTAGGCGGGCTAACCATGCCTGAGTGGAAAGGACGCGTGCCTCTCACTCGCTCTCATTGTGAGCGCATAACGTGAGCGGAGCGTAACGCAGTTTCTTGAAGTGTCACCCGGCAAACCAATTTATAAGACGTTGTCATGTCAATAAAAAAAATGATGATGATGCATGTATCCAGGTGAGGAGTACCTGGACTCCCGCGTGATGCGCGCAGCCAGTGACATCACGGTGCGATGCTCCGTGGCCGTCAGCTGTAATGTCAACACGTACGACAGGCATGAGCTCGCCAAACATATTGTGAGTACAAGATACGATAAGTCTTCCTATGTTAACACAGTCGCGGAGAACCTAACGGGTAACCGGGGGCTCCGGCTCGACGTGCAGGAAAAGGAACGGGGTGGTTTTTAGTCAGTAAGAGTCTGACACTCCCTCCCGCCTCACCCAGGCGGGAGCAGTCATTCGATGATTTTCCCCGCTTAAAAAAAAAGTCTTCCTATGTGTCAGATGGGGCACAAAAGGGCTGAAGCCGATACGGAGCCGCGGAGGACTTAACAGGTTGCCGAGGCTCCGGCTCGAAGTGCAGGAGAAGGAACGGGGTGGTTTTTAGTCAGTAAGAGTCTGATTGATTGAAAGATGATGTTTGTTTGTTCCGCTTTCACGTTGTAACTACTAAATCGATTGCTTTGAATTTTTGCAGAAGTAAAGTTGGAAGTCCGGATTAAATAATAGGGTACTTTTTATCCCGGAAAAAATTGATATTCCTGAGGAAAAACAAAAGTATTGGTATAGATGGCGCTGTGTGTATTGGTATATGTCACATAGGCTATCGATAGATAGCCATAGATAGAAAAGAGATATCTTTTATCCTTTTGTGACGCGAGCGAAGCCGCGGGTAAAAGCTAGTTGATCATGATTTCAGCAAGAGAATCCCCAGTTCTGGCAGTTCACGTTTCCTCTGGAGGTGCCCGTAGTGGGCAATTTATTCGGCACGTTTGCCCCGACGCCACCGGAGCAGAGACCCCGTGTGCCTCGCAGACACGTCGAGAGGCAACAGGCTACACAACTTAAAGAACCAGAGAAGGTGGACAGGTTAGATATTTTTGTATATTTTACATAGGTACAAAATAAAACTGCCTCGTTGGCTGTTGAGGCACCTGTCTCAACATCGCCGGACGCGCCCGCGCGCCAGCGGCAGTGAACGAGGGACGCGGGGGGGCTGCGGCTCACCGGCCGGTCTACAGCCGAGCCCGCGCCCCGCGTCGCGCCAGTCAGCGGTTGCACGCCTAGACGCAAGGCTGCGCTTACGCATTTTTTTTTTACTTGTTGCCATATTCCATATCTACATCTTGTTATTCCGTTCTTATTCAATTCATTACATTTTATATACAGTCCACTCGCATTTTATTTTATCACATCGACAAGAGCTATCGTCGCGTCTATTGGCCAATTGGTCGCAAGCACGACTGCCGGGCAAGGGGTCTCGGGTTCGATTCCCGGGTCGGGTAAAGTATTACTGGGTATTTAAAAAAAATCTCAGTAGTAGCACGGAGTCTGGAATTGTGCCTGGGATATAGCAATAGGCTCACCCCCTATTACATGGGACTCATAACATAAATAGTGTGAAGTGGGTGTTACATTGTACAGTGGCGTAATGTGCACGTCTGCCTAACCCTTCGGGGATAAAAGACGTGATGTTATGTTATGTTATGTTTTTATACTAACTATCGTGAGACATACTAAATTAAGTAAAAACGCGGGTTACTCACGTGAATATACTGAGAAAAGCTCTACTAGTTTCGAACCACAGAGGGGTTCTTCCTCATGAGCGGCGTGCGCGGTCGCGGCGACGTCGCGCAGCTCACGAGAGCCCCTCTGTGGTTCGAAACTAGTAGAGCTTTTCTCAGTACATTCACGTGAGTAACCCGCGTTTTTACTTAATGTTATGTTATGTTGAATTTATTTATATCATGTTACTAATATTCACAGGTTAGAAAAACAAGAAGAAGGTTCAGCGATGGTGATGCGAGTGCATCGCTTTATAAACAAATGGTATAAGCAGAACCGTCGGCCGCTCAGCTACTTCCACGCCGTGCTCGACCCCACCAGCTTCAGTCGGAGCGTAGAGAATATCTACAATGTCTCTTTCCTTGTCCGAGATGGGAAGGTCTCTATTACGTTAGGTGAGTCAAAAATTCAAACGAAAAGAATTTATTTCCATTAAACCATAATTTTGGTACTTTTTGAACGTCAACAAATCACTATCCTTACTAATCCTTACCAATATTATAAATCTGAAAGTGAGTTTGTTTGTTTGTTCCACCTTCACGCCGTAACTACTCAACCGATTGCTTTGAATTTTTGCAGACGTAAAGTTAGAAGTCCGGATTAAATAATAGGGTACTTTTTAACGCGGAAAAATTGATATTCCCGAGGAAAAACAAAAGTATTGGTATAGATGGCGCTGTGTGTATTAGTATATGTCACATAGGCTATTTTTATTCTTTTGTGACGCGAGCGAAGCCGCGGGTAAAAGCTAGTATAGTATAAAACAAAGTCGATATCCACCGTCTGTCTGTCCCTATGTATGCTTAGATCTTTAAAACTACGCAACGGATTTTGATGCGGTTTTTTTAATAGATCGAGTGCTTTTTAAGGAAAGTTTATATGTATAATACATGCATATTGCATCCGTGCGAAGCCGGGGCGGGTCGCTAGTATAAAATAAATAATAGTCTGTCAGTCTGTCCGTCAGTGAAGCTAGGTGATCGTTCCTAAAAGTAGATTCGAGTTGAGAAGAACGAGTAAGAAACTGTACTCGTTACTCTTTTAGTGTATTAGTAAGTAGTTTTAAGTGTGGGAGAGCCATGCTTCGGCACGAATGGGCCGGCTTGACCGGAGTGATATCACGGCCGAGCAGAAAACCGACGTGAAGCAACGCTTGCGTTGTGTTTCGTCGTGTGAGTGAGGTTACCGGAGGCCCAATTACCTCCAGCCCTTCTCCAATCTCCCCAATCCCTGAATCCCCTACAATCCCCAAATTTTCAAACGCCTAAAAACCGGTATCGTGCTTGTAACGCCTCTGGTGTTCCAAATGTTCATGGGCGACGCCGATTGCTTACCATCAGGTGCGCCGTCTGCTGATTTACCGGCTTATACAATAATAATACTAGATTTATGTAATACTAGCTATTGCCCGCGGCTTCGTCCGTTTAGAATGTGAATAATTTTTGTCAGCTAATACACTGTCTAAACCAAATTTCACCAAAATACATTCAGTACTTTCGACATTTTTGAAGATTATCAAGACTCCTGTTTTAACCCATGGGAGCATTTAATCAGAATAAAGTATCCGATCACCTAAGTCAGCCCATACCCTGCCTGTATACCAAATTTCATCAAAATGTATTCAGTAGTTTTAGCATAACTGACGGACAAACATAAACAAAGAAACTTTCACATTTTTATATGAGTGTGATGTTGAATGTCGTGGTGGCCCGGAGGTTTTAGGCGCCCGCTTCTAATGCATGAGAGTGCGCGTTCAAAACCTACCAACGGCAAGTACCAATGTGACTTTTTCTGAGTTATATGTACTTTCTAAGATTATTCAGACACCACTGACAAACGGTGAAGGAAGACATCGTGAGGCAACCTGGGTGCTTACTCTTGAAAGCAATCACAATTTCAATCCAATAAAATCTCAATAATTATTTAATTTTAACACTACCTATACAACCTCTATCGTAGCTGTTAAAATAGCATTCAGAGTACGGAATATAAAGCCAAACTCAATACCATTTAGTTCATTCAATATCCACGCAGTACGGGTGCAATGGGCGCTAGTGTTGCAACTCAAGAGTACGAAATTTCACAATATCAATCAATGTCGATCGAAAGGAATTGGGTAGTTTCCAGGGTATCAAAATTAAAAATCTAATTAGTCCGCCAGTTAGATAATGAAAAAATATTAGACACGTATTTTTTTAATTTTCTCGTATTAAGTGCAATGCTTAGATAAGATGGCGCTAAGTTTAGGAGTGGGAGGTTGTTACGTCATAACGTGCTACAAAATGTAGCACGCTGTGACGTCTCACGATATATCAAATTAATATATCGTCGAAAGTATTTAATTTTGTGAGAAAAGAAAAATACAGTGTGTAAAGTTTTAAATTAATGTACCAGACGGACATTAAAACAAAATTTAGGAAACTATCCTATTGGATTCAAGAGTAAGCACCCAGGGCCTATAATTTCCAATTATAAGTTTGTAATCGCCAAACTGCATTGGACAAGCGTGGTGATTAAAGCTCAAACCTTCTCCGTGTGAGAAGAGGCTTGCTCAGCAGTGGGGATTTATAGGCTAACTAGCTTTCACCCGCGGCTTCGCTCGCGTCACAAAAGGATAAAACGCCAATGTGACATATACCAATACACACAGCGCCATCTATACCAATACTTTTGTTTTCCCTCGGGAATATTAAATTTTTCCGGGATAAAAAGTACCATATTATTTAATCCGGACTTCTTACTTTACGTCTGCAAAAGTTCAAACCAATCGGTTTAGTAGTTACGGCGTGAAAGCGGAACAAACAAACTCACTTTCCAATCTATATATATAAAAGAAAGTCGTGTTAGTTACACCACTTATAACTCAAGAACGGCAGAATAGATTTGGCTGAAAATTGGTAGGGAGGTAGCTTAGAGCCAGGAGACCGACATAGGATACTTTTTAACCAATTTTTTTTTACTTTTTCCGAAAATCACGAACGGGGACGGGAAAAATGGGATGGTACGCGTACGAAGGCGCGGGCAGAAGCTAGTTTATTATTTTAGTAAGGATGATGATGATGTCCACAGATAAGGACCACGGTCTGCCCTTCATAACTCCTTTGTCGACGGAGCAACAAGAGTCGAACAAAGGTGATGAGAAACAGTTCATAGTATCCATTGATATGCGGAGGTGGCAGGTATGTAGTCAAAACATTTAATAAACTCTCAAACACCGAGCGGTTACCGGTGACCGCAACCTATTGTTCTTTAATTGTGTCTATAATGACGGTACTCAACGATTTAAACTGTCAAATACCGCGAGGACACCGGTGACCGCAACCTATTGTTCTTTAATGGGGATGATGACAGGGTATGAAAATTAAAAATATAATTAGTCCGTAAGTTAGGTAATGAAAAAATATTAGACACGTATTTTTTTATTTTGTCGTATAATAAAACAATACTTGGATAAAACGAATCAAAGTTTAGGAGTGGGGGCTAAAACGTCATTTCTTAGTATAAAATGTACTGAGAAGTGACGTCACGCGACATTTCAAATCAATATATCTTCGAAACTATTCGTTTCTGTGAGAAAATAAAAAATACGTGTCTAATGTTTTTAAATAATCTACCAGACGGACATTAAAATAAAAATTAGTCGTCTACCCTATTGTGTCTATAATGACGGTACTCAACGATTTAAACTGTCAAACACCGCGAGGACACCGGTGACCGCAACCTATTGTTCTATAATGTGTCTATAATGACGGTACTCAAAGGGTTAATAACATCACGCATTTTATCCCCGAAGGGGTAGGCAGAAGTACACATTACGGCACTTAATGCCCGACTGTACAATGTAACACCCAGTTTTCACTGTTTATGTTATGAGTCCCATGTATTACGGGTGAGTCTATTGCCATATACCGGGCACATTTCCAATCTCCGTGCCACTACTGAGAATTTCTTTAAAAAATCTAGTATTACTTTGCCTGAGCCGGGAATCGAACCCGAGACCCCTTGCCCGGCAATCGCACTTGCGATTGTGACCACTCGGCCGACGGACGCACCTTTATACCTATTTTTTTTCATTGTGTGATTAAATAGATTTTTATTTCATTCAAAAATCTATACTCAAAACTGTAAATTGAATATTTAAAAAAAAAAAAAAATAATACTTGAGGCGTGATCTACAGTCGATACCGAAGCCAAAAATATGGTTTTAAGAATTTGTGTCTGTTTGTCTGTATGTATGTATGTATGTCCGGGATGATCTCAAAAATTACTGCATGTATTTACTTCAAATTTTGCATGAATATTTATTACTAACAAGTCGGGTCAACATGTAGGCTGTATATTATCATGCAACCAACTACGGGGGAGGAGCTGTGTATCACAATTCCACGCGAGCGAAGTCGCGGGCAACAGCCTTGGAGACTACCAATAATTCGAAGTCGCGGAGAACCTAACGGGTAACCGGGGCTCCGGCTCGACGTGCAGGAGAAGGAACGGGGTGGTTTTTAGTCAGTAAGAGTCTGACACTCCCTCTCGCCTCACCCAGGCGGGAGCAGTCATTTGATGATTTTCCCCACTTAAAAAAAAAGTCTCCAATAATCCTACTGCCACACCCGGGAATCGAACCGTTGGGCGATACAGTATAATACACATTTCTCTTTTTGTTCCAGGAACTGGTCTCTGCGTTTGACATAAACGAACCTCTAATGGTGTTGAAGAAATAATTAGTTTATGTTTAATAATAAATAATGACTGCACGGTTGGCGCGGTGGCGGGGCAACTGGCTACCGCGCGGTTTATTCCACTTTGTTCACCTGGGTGATTTCACCTAGGTGAACAAAGTAGACTTTTTGGAGTCCTCAATTCACCTGGGAATTATTTCACCCAGGTGATATCACATAGGTGAATTGAGTTGACTCAAGTAGTCTCCTTTGTTCACTTGTCAATTTAATTCACCCAGGTGCACAAAGACGACTTTTTACTTTTACGTTGTGGACTTATATCACCTACCTACCTTAAAACAAGTTAAATAAAAACTTTCAATTTAACATACATTTTAATATGTTCAAATATCAGATTTATGTTGGTCTATTACAGATGCAAAAACATATCACAATTTCGTGATATAAGTGCACAACAGATATTTCAATTAGGTGATATAAGTCCACAACGTAAAAGTAAAAAGTCGCCTTTGTGCACCTGGGTGAATTAATTGACAAGTGCACAAAGGAGACTACTTGAGCCAACTCAATTCACCTAGGTGATATCACCTGGGTGAAATAATTCCCAGGTGAATTGAGAACTCCAAAAAGTCTACTTTGTTCACCTAGGTGAAATCACCCAGATGAACAAAGTGGAATAAACCTGCCGCGCAACCTGTCGCGGGTTCGATTCCCGCACGGAACAACTCTTTGTGTGATCCACAAATTGTTGTTCCGGGTCTGGGTGTCATGTATATGTGAACTTGTATGTTTGTAAACGCACCCACGACATATGAGAAAGTCTAATAGTGGGACAACTTTTTTTTAATGTGATTTTATACCAAAATGTTGATCGTATTAGCAGGGACTAATGTTCGTTAAAACAAAAATTTTTAAGCTGATGTTCAAGCCCGTTGTTATCAACCTCTCTTAAATTTTAAGGAACACCTAAGCTAAGATAGGTGACCCTTAACGAAATTTTTTGGCTGTCACCAACATGATTATAAGTGACAATTAATATTTGTATTGTAACTTTCGTGAGACATACTAAATAAATTATTATGTTTTCGGCTTACTCACGTACTAATTGTAATACTGTAATGTGTAACACTGTTTTTGCGTCGACCTGGGATTCGAACCCAACAACACCAACGCAGCTGCCGGCGGGCGAGTCTAGCGTGCCAACAGTGCCACGCGCGCCGCCGTCGCCGATACCACGAATGGAAGAAAGTGCGCGTGAATCACGGCAGAGGGCGCGCTGGGCAGACTCGAGTAGCCAGTACCAGCGCGACAGTCGCCGCGTCGCGGGTCGCGAAATGTTGCTCATGAATATGAGCCTCTAGCATGGCTTGAAACTAGTCGAGTTCCTCGTCATATAATTACGTGAGCAAGCTGAAAACATGACAATTAATATAATAAATCATACCGAGTTACTCTCAGATGGTTTAGGGGTGGTTGGTGAAAACGGCCACCTATAACTTGTTAGCAGTAACAGATTTAAGTGCTCCCTCACGCTAAGTAACTCTTAGTTAGGAGATGGTTTAGTAGTGGTTCGTGGAAACAGGCATTTATCATTAACTTAGTATCCGCAAGGCAACAATGATAACCTATAGTTTTATAGATTAACTAAAAATCGCGTGTTACTCACGTGAATATACTGAGATAAGCTCTACTAGTTTCGAACCACAGAGGGGTTCGCGCAGCCTAGTGACATCGCCGCGACCGCGTACGCTGCCCATGAGGAAGAGCCCCTCTGTGGTTCGATACTAGTAGAGCTTTTCTCAGTATATTCACGTGAGTAACCCGCGATTTTTAGTTAACTTATGTCGGAATACTGAAACGCTACTTAATTTTAAGTCGCGCTTAAGTATAGTTCTGTCTCCACTATTTTTTTGTGAAATGACAGAGATGGCACGATATTTAAGCACGACTTAAAATTGAGTAAAGTTTCAGTATTCCGGCATTAGTATGTCTCACGATAGTTATTATAAAAACATAGTTTTATAGATGTCGGGAAGGTAGCGTGCTCTGAGTTGATTTGTAAACAATAAATATTGTTTGTATTTGTTTTTTATTCTTAATAGTTTGACGTTGTATCGTATGATCCATCTATATTCCCAGTTTATGTGTTTATCATACACATAAAAAAACCGACTTCAAAAAACCAAAAACTAATAACAAACATAAGTTCCATACAAAATTATTCATTAAAACCTTAATAGGTATCTACTTAATTCACAATTTTGTGGACTGATATATCATTATGATATGAGCTTATGGCACCGACTTCTAACCTATCAGTGGGTGGGTAACCTATCAGTACTAATAATAGTTATTTTTTGCTTTTTAGTTTAGACTTTTTGTTTGTTATTAGTTTTTGGTTTTTTGAAGTCGGTTTTTTAAACGCAGTTTTTATTTTATTATTTTATCATTTTCAGTGTAAAGCTACATATACCCGTTTTGTTACTTATAATCTACATAGGTGCAAAGTTCTAATCAATACAAATTATACAAGCCTAAACACAAGGTAGTTACAGTATACCGTTGAGGAGTTCCCTTACCAATTACACTTCTTCATCATCAGACCCTTAATGACAGCCCTACTCTATCTAGGTGTAAAGTCCTCATCAATACAAATTAATCAAGCCCAAACACAATGTAGTTACTGTATACCGTTGAGGAGTTCCCTCGACTGTCTATCGGCTCCATCATCAGGTCGACTCCAGACCCTTATCAAATTGTAGTGTTTAAAAATCCTAATTGAAAAACATAATAGACGCATCACTCGCCCATATAATTTTCGAAAGTTCCCCTCGGTTTCCCTAGGATCCCATCAGATCCTGACCTCATGGAAATGGGACCAACTTAGGAGTATACCCTTTCCAACAAAACAAAAATTTTGCAAATCGCTTCACGCATCTCAGAGTTATGCGCGTACAAACATACAAAAAAAAAAAAAAAGCAACATACCGGCCGAACGTATAACCTCCTCCTTTTTTGAAGTCGGTTAAAAATAAAAAAACCAGTGAAGACGAAGTATTGGAAACTATACCGACGTGAAGCAACGCTTGCGTTGTGTTTCGTCGTGTGAGTGAGGTTACCGGAGGCCCAATTACCCTCCCCTTCCCCAAACTCCTCAATTCCTGAATCTCCAACGATCCTCAAACTCCTAATTCCCAAAAAGGCTGGTAACGCACTTGTAACGCCTCTGGTGTTCCAGGTGTCCATGGGCGACGCCGATTGCTTACCATCAGGTGATCCGTCTGGCCAAATGGCCACCCGGTGAGAGCAAAAATCACCGAAGTTTTTTTTATAGCATAAGCCGGTAAACGAGCAGACGGATCATCTGATGGAAAGTAATCGGTGTCGCCCATGGACACCCGCAACACCAGAGGCGTTACAAAAGCGTTACCGGCTTTTTTTGGATTAGAAATTTGAGGATTATTGGGAATTCAGAAGCGCTGGTGTAAAATCAAGTCTTATGTCTCACTAGCGCCTCTATCGGCGAAAAATCTTATTATGTTTTTATTAAAATAATGCAAGTACTGTGATTGTTAATCTGTGAGAATAAAATGTTGTATTTTCGTAAATATGTTTTTAATTTCTGTATTTTTAAATGTGTAACACCCAGTGATACAACACTTGTTGTTTTCTGAGGGGGTAGGCAGATGTCTAAGTACTTATAAACACCCATTCCTTCCTTGCCACAGGCTGTCTTACCAGAAGGGAACTTATTACGAGTTTCATTTACGTTTAATGAGATTAAAACGTTACCGAGTATTCTGATTCTGATTCTGTATGGCCTCTTTTTTTAAGAGGAGATAACGATGATTATTCCCTACATATATAATGACTTCTCCCACCTGGGTGAAGCGGGAGGGAGTGTCAGACTCTTACTGACTAAAACCACCCCGTTCCTACTCCTGCACTTCGAGCCGGAGCCCCGGTAACCCGCGGTTTTCCGCGGCTCCGTATCGGCATCAACTCTATTGGCCCCATCCGTGGAGCTCTTTGGGGCGCGCGCGGAACGCGAATTCTATTCTCTGTTCCAAAAACCAACAAATCAGAAAGTTAAACTACTTGAACTCAACTCTCTGTTCCCCAAAAACCCACCAATCAGAGAGTTAAACGCGGTAACGCTTAGCTCTGAAATCAAACTCGTGTAGGTACTAGGCCCTTCGGGTGCCCAATCAATGGCAATTGAAGGCATTCAATCTCGAGTGAATTTGTGTAAATGTGTAAACGTGCTACGGTGGACTATGATTTGGCGTTCCATAGTCCTCTACTTAGCCCCATATGAGACAGGCGTGAAGTTTATACAGGGTTACTGGTTAAGACGACCTAAATTATAGAAGAGGTGGTAGTATGCATCATTCCTGACCGATTTGTCTAAGGAACCCCATATCCCAAACTTATGCATTCTCAAGATATCGGCCTTTTTAATTACTTTGTGTTTTGTCTCAATTTCGTTCTGTTTTTTGCTATTTTTGTGAGAGAAAGATAAGTTGCTTTTTTTATGGAGTAGAAGGCAAACGAGCAGACGGATCACCTGATGGTAAGCGATCAGCGCCGCCCATGGACACCCACAACACCAGAGGAGTCACAGGTGCGTTGCCGGCCTTTTAAAAAGGAATACGCTCTTTTCTTGAAGGTCGTATCGGTTCGGAAATACCGCCGACGACAGATCATTCCACAGTCCATTAAAGTTCAGTTCCAGTTCATTCTTTATTGAATTATGTTTTCGGCTTACTCACGTAATAATTTGACGAGGAACTCGACTAGTTTCAAGCCATGCTAGAGGCTCATATTCATGAGCAGCATTTCGCAGCGACTGTCGCGCTGCTACTGAAACTAGTCGAGTTCCTCGTCAAATTATTATGTGAGTAAGCCGAAAACATAATAATTTATTTAGTATGTCATACGAAAGTTACAATACAAGTTTCTATATTATTTGAAACCATACCACTGGCAACAACATGCAAGTGACTACACCAACATAGGCGTAGTAGACGAAAGATTATTAA